CTATTGTAGCCGCCGGCGCTTGCTTTCACAGCTTCAGCTTCTTCTTCGTTGGTCCCAATCTGGAAGGCCGCTACACAGGGCTTGACGGAAGAAGGAGGGGTGGGGGCTAAATACCGATTTGAACTGGACGGTAGACGGTCTTTGAATTAGGTACGTGCTCGAGTCTTGGGTAAATATTCGGGTAAGTACTGTACTTGGGCGTCTCGACGTCTGAAAATTACCCATGGCAAGGTTCATGATACATACTTGGGTCCCTGGGTCAATCAAACCCCAGATTCCTTGCCCTGATTCTTACATACATACATAACAAGGTAGTATCTGCGTTGATCTATCTAGGTAGATAATTATGGCGGTCAACCGACAGCTGGTAACCATGGTATTATATTTACCTAAATTCAAAGGGACTCGGGACGCGATCTGCCAAGTTCCCCTCCGTACGATGCTATTTGTCCGTTTTCCATGGGTGGTCTGGATCCGAACCAACCCAAATCGGCCCCCCCATGCAGTCAGCTCTTGGACGGGGAAGACCGCAACACTACAACGATAGTCGGGCGAACATACGTAGTGGCAATAAACCAATGCGAGGATTTGACAGCTGCGAAGAAAAAAAAGCAAGATTCTCCCAAACTTGCTACTGGACATCCGCGAAATGCACGAGTACCTAGCCGATATAGGTAATAGGTAGGGGATTAATAGGAAATCTATTATGTAGACACGACTTAATGGTCTAGGTAAACCATCTACGGTTGCCAGACGATTCCGCCTTGGTTGTCTATCGCCTGTTATGCCTCGGCGGACGCCTTATCGCATTTCCTCAAGTCTCCACGATTTTCTCCGCGGCCAACTCGAATCACGTTTCAGGAAAGTTTATACACATAGCATATTCTATTGACATACTTGGGTATGCGGCTCAACGAAGATCTGGTAGTCGGTGTCGGCTACTTTCCTATGCATCTGACTCGGTCCACTTTGAATCGATATCACAAAGCCCTCTGGAGGCATTGTCGAGGTTACGCGAGCCATACTATGTAAGTCAGTCAAGCCATGGAATAAGCCATGGGTCTCATTAGCCGATGGCTTCTGCGAACTCTACCATGTACATACCTAATGTAGTATATGTACTCCCCATGGATGGTTCGCGGACCAGTTCGTTGTATGTACACGAGTGTTTGTACTCCCTACTCCTGTCACAAACCCCGCGAGATTTTTTTAACGGCCCCAGACTAACTTGGTTCGCGTAGACTGGCTGAGAACGAGACAGGGTATATGCATATAGTATGTCTCGCTGATACATACGGTGCTACATATGTAGACGCTGCAGGGGCTGCCAAGATAACGATAAATGACCGCAATGACCCTTCAGCCACTATCCCCTGTCAGATACGTACAGTATAGTGCATATCTTGCGGCTCCGCGTGGGTCAGTTTACATTGTGAGGGCAGCAGGATTGCCCAAGAGACACAGACATGTGCAACCTAGAACACCCGGCAGCATATTAGTAGTAAGGTTAGATCAGTCTCCATGGCGTATCTCGTTTCTTCGGAAGCAAGTTGCTTCACACTCCCCTGCTTCGCCCCATTGTTGCCTACGAAGTACGTTCCGCAACATATGGAACATCAAGTTTTCTTCCATAAGTCTTGCTTCGTTCCCCGCGGTTTCGTACTGCAAGTTTGCCTTGCGGCCGCCTCTATCTTCTAATATTAAACCACTTCCTCTTCATGGTTACCTACTACCTGTAGGACCATCCCGTCTAAAAAGAAGGTCTAGGCCAAGACCCAACGCCGTCTAACCAGACCTCCAAATTGTTTCATTGTCCATCTCGAACACACTTCAAGGGAAGCTTGTGGCGTATATACACAATTGTGAGAAGATTGAAAAAGATGGACTATCAGAATTTTGTATACCAGGACACCGTGCCACATCCAGTGTACGTGGAAAATTCATCTATCGATGGCATGATCGATCCAAATCTCAAACCCTCTGCTTCTCCATGGACCCCTCCACAGATTCACCGTTACTTGACGGAACACAAATCCACGCTCCTCAACTACGCGGGAGTTGATCCAATCTTCCACGAGACTGTAATTCGGAGAAACAACAGTACAGGGTCGCTCTCATGCGGCCTACCTCAACGCCGAGACTCGCCATCGTTCTCTTCTCACACATCGTCAACAGGCAGTAGTGTCTTGAGCCCACCCGGGGAGGGTGACTACTACCAACCGCATTCGCCACCAACACCCACTGATACGTCGATCATGTCTCCGTTCTATCAATTTGAGAGTCCCAGCTCTCGAGCTCATCTATACCAATTTACGGGTCTTGCCGATGATTGTGTGAAGCCAATCGACATCAACCCCTACCAAGAATCCCCCGAGAACTATTTTGATGACAGCAACCCAAGGTCAGAGTTCCCTTCGAGGGGTTATAGTATGTCAACCGACGACGGTAGTGCCTGCATGGACATGTGTAGCATACGGGAGCAAACCGGATCTCGTCGGCTTATGAGTCCTGAGGAATCTGCGCCGAATGTGAAAGAAGAAATCCGCATTCCTGAGCCCATCTCGACTTTCACTCAGTATGAGTCAGATGACGACGAAATGGTGTCCGGTGATGAAGCCGAGACTCCCATTTTGAAGCACGAAGACAGAGAAGACGACGAGTACAAACCATATCAGAAGCCGAAGAAGACAAAGACCAGCACAAGCCGGCCTACCAGGAACCGAAAGCGACAGGGTAGTCTAGGACCTACACCAGAAGCGAAGCGACCCAAGATTGATCTCGGCGATTCCAGCACGATTAGTAGGCCCACCGCCAAACCTGTTATCCAAGGAACAAAAGGTAACTATCCTTGTACCGAGTGCTCAAAGAAAGTCTTCTTCAAGGACGAGAGCGGCCTGCAAAATCACATCAAGAAGCAACATACTCGACCATTTGTTTGCGTCTTCGGCTTTGCGGGCTGTAATTCCACTTTTGCCAGTAAGAATGAATGGAAACGACATTGTTCTTCGCAGCACCTTGTTTTGAACTACTGGGTCTGCCAACAGGACCAATGCTCCAAGATTTCGAGCAAAGCTACAGCACCTATCCGCGGTCGTCTTAACCCCCTTTCCTCACAGAGCCCCTACATACCGACACTTCCCCGCGGTACCATCTTCAATCGCAAGGACCTTTACACCCAACACCTGCGACGCATGCATATTCCGGCGAATCTTAAGAAGAGTGTCAAACAAAGGAAGCCTTCGCCTGAGTGGGAAACACGCGAGCGCGCACATCAGGAAGAGGCAAAAAGGACACGATGCGACCTCCCAACTCATATGCAATGCCCAGCCGTCGGTTGCAGTTTCCGCTTCGATGGTACGAATGCTTGGGATGATAGGATGGAGCACGTTGCCAAGCACCTCGAGAAGGCCGCCACCGGTTCAGAGCCGCCGATTGAATTCGGTGGAGAAAACGACAAGACTCTTATCGACTGGGCTACCCGCCCCGAAATTGCAATCATTGAAAAAGGAGTAAACGGAGAATGGGAACTACGTAATCCCTTAAAGCCTAGTGGTAGCCTGACGGTTGAGACGACGACGGACCAGGAAGGGGACGAGGACGCCGAGGGTGAGGAGGTTGATGAGTGACTGTTCTAATGGTTTCTGTTCATTTTATTCTTTACCTACCTGTCCATATTAGGGCAGTCGGGGTTAGTAAGGAAGTATATATCCTAACACCTCGACATGGAGTAAAGTACTCTGATGGAAGGGTGGCTTGGGACGATCTAGAGATTTATAATGACGGGGTTAAATATCCAATCTATAGGGAAGGACTTGGGATCTATAGAACCATCGAGTTCAGGGACATGTACAACTATCTACGATGTTACGAGATAACTATCCTGGCTATTAAAATTGAAGGCACGCACGGATAGTCGTGGAGGCCATATAAAGTTCTGTATAAAATTGTATAGTCGCATAGAGCCTGAGCTTATGTTATAGATTACGAGTTTTAGATGATATAATGAGTCGTTAGTTATGGCATATTAGAGACCGAATGTCTCACGATCATTACCGGGGAGGGTCAGCCAGGGATCCGGGTCAGCATTAGGCAGTGGAATGTAAGACAGCATGCGCCTTGCTTAGGCAGACGTGCAGGCTTTATCTCGATCCCCAAGCTTGGCCGGTTGAAGAAAATGAGTGATCTAGGTAAGTAGAAAGTAAGTGGGTAGATAGGCAAGCATCCGGGTACGTTGCAGGAACAGGCGGTTAAAGCGTTCGGGGCCGAGATCTACGCCGCATAAAATGCCTTGGTTAAAGAGTGGCGTCCATGTCCTGGCTTTTTTTTTATATCTTGGACGTATGGGGTGAGCTTCCATCCCCCATCCCCCACAGAGTAGGATAGCCGGCTTACTTACATATGCGTCCACGGCGGATGACGAGCGTTCCCGGTAGCATTTTTTACCTGTGTGTTGAGGGGCGGAAAGGGTTTATCAATGGCGGATGGGGGCGGTTTGCTTGCCTAAGGTAACCTTGACTGAGCCTCAGAGGTGCATAAGAGGATACCTATGTATATATGTACTAAGGTAGGTAATGGTATATAAAAAAAGTAGATTAATGTAGAAACATGAGTAGGTGGAAAAGTTGAAAGGAGTGGTGGTTCGGGTGGTGCGCATGTTGTACATAGGCGGTTTCGCACGTAGCACAGGCGGTGATAAGATGATAAGAGGTACCTATATACAACCTATATGTAAGTTACCGACGTTGTAGCGTGCTTATACTTCGTACTTCGTGTCGCATTACTTTATTATGTCGGTATAAGTATTACGGTACATTTTGTGTTAGATCTCATTTATAACACCAATCATTTACACTACATGTACTATGTATAGTTATAGATTCCCGCGAATAGCGCTGAAATCTCCACCACGGGGATTGAAACGTACCAGCTGTACCCAAGACAGCTGTCTCTCGCCATGGCGCTAGCAACGTGTACTAGACATATTATACCTACCTAAACACCTAAACACCTAAACATACAAAAGAGAGGTAAATGTTTAAATACAGTATTTACTATACAGTACTATATAATATATTCACGTTGGATTGCGTTGTACAAGAAACTTTCAGCCGCACTTTTTCGGCATTCCTTTCCTCTGTGGCACACAGCACACAAGCACACATGCCGTCTTCGGCCTTATTTCCGATTTCTATGATTATAATTAATATTTCTACTGCTACAGACTGATGTCACAAAATAAAGTTGATAAGCAGCACCTCGACCCGACTCATCACGGCTTGAACGGTCCCGCATAATCCGGAAAGTACCCCGTTAACCCCGGAATGGCCAGCCCTAGGCAAGATTTGGTCCGTGATGACTCAGAGTCTCTACGTGAAGACGATGCTGTTGTTATACTTGGCCGTAAAGACAAGGGCAAAGCTCCTATAAGGGTCCATAGGGATTTCGTTGACGGGAGATATCCTCAGAATACAGAGATACCTAATGCAAACCCGCATCCGCACACAGACCCTACAAATTCCCAATGTCGAAGTCGAAATGAGAACCTGGAGTCCCCCGAATCCTCTGCTGCATCTAGCGTACTTAATGAACCATTATCCGAGTATGGCATCAAACTAAAGACCCAGCTGCTGTCCCCCAGACCTAGTCTCGAGGCATTAAGCGTAGAATCAGACTGTGAAAGCTTTAGGACGGCATCGCCCAAGCTATATCTAGACGATGATGACCAAGAGCGGGAGCAAAAGCAAGGACGGAAACAGGAGCAGCAGAGGCAGGAAGAAGCAGAATCGGATCACGAACCGGAGCCGCAGCCGCACCCGTACCCGGCCGACCAAGATCCGGCTGCAAGTGGGCCACACACTAACGAGGAAGAAGCCGAGTCGCCGACTTTTCGGCCGCCCAGGCTCGGAGATCCCGGGTGGGAGAAATCAGCGGATCGGCCGCCGAAGAAGCTACCTATTCGATTCAAAGATGCCGTGGGCCGTAAATTTATCTTTCCTTGGGAAAAGGCTAAGACCTGGGCGGTGAGTAGTATTTCTACTACCTATCTTTCAACTCTTTTTTATTTTATTTTATTTTTTTAAATTCTTTTTTCTTCTTCTTTACGTTAGTCGATTTATGAGATTGATTGATGGGTCTTACCTCGAAGACGCTTATCCGATGCGGCATAAATATTGTATAAGGGGAGCAGAGACATAAATATGAATGACAAGTCGTTATTTAGAGACTCCTCGGAGGGCATACCTTAGGTACCTTACCTTTCCTCTTAACTAACTAACAGCATCTTAGGGCATGGAACGTCTAATCCGAAATTGCTTCGTCTATGTCGACGTGATCGGACCTCACGTCATCAAGGGGCACTACGATCTCTTCACCTTTCACCTCCCTTTCTCGACAGATACCGGCTTTGAAATGGCTCCCCAGGCTGCTGCGTCAGAACCGGCAGGCGTGCAACAACATCCCGGGATAGAAGCTCATATGGCCGGTTCATCGAATCATCCTCCAATCCCGCATGCTCCGACCCCGCCGCCGGCTCCGACGCTCACGCCCATAGAACAATCAGCCGTCACCATCCTACCCGAGCTCTGGGAGGATCTGGTCGAGCCAGGCATGTTTATACTGATGCAGATGTGGCCCATGGCACCTCCGGCCTTGCCCCCTCCGCCAATGCAACACCCTCCCCCTGGCCCTCCCGGCATCCTAGGTGGTTATGTTGGCGGCAGAGGCCGAGGCAGGGGTAGTGGTGGGGGAAGGGGCATGGGTCCGCCTCTGGGACCACCGCCTGGGTGGATGGTGGTGGAAAGACCGCCGAAGCCGAGAGGCAAGACGCGGAAGCGGCGGGATGGTCCGTAGATGTTATACGATAACTATACGATATACGAGGTTATTTATTTATTTATTTATTTTTACGGTAGAGAGGTGTATGGTTACGGGGGCTAAAGTGAGTTAGAATGGTGCAGTTCTATGCATTGAAACCATTTTAGGTGGGGGGAGTAAGTAAGTGAGCGATCACTGTTTGTTTATTTGTTTGATTTACTTGGGGATCAATATATCTATCTACTTAATATACATAGTCAACGTATATATAAAAAGTGGAATAAATGGAAGTGTGAATTTGAAGGTGACGATCATTTGTTTCCAACGAGATTCACGAGATCATGACGATACCTTATGTAACGTGGGTGGTATGTACCATAGTGGGAAAATGCGCGGGGCAACAATGATTGTTAAGGTCAACAATCATTGTGTAGCCAACAATCATTGTGTAGGTAATAATCATTATAACTTATCTAGTATATATCGGGATTAGCCCAGGCTGCCAAGCCTTATCTTAATAGGCTAAAACATCCGTGCTTTACAACTGTCCAATTAACGTAACTAGTAAACCCGTAGCTCGTAACAAGTAACACGTAATCCGTAATCCGTAAACCTTATAGTTTAAATTTTCGTATATGTAAATATTTTAAAAACTTTAAAAAATAAAAATAAAATAAAAAAAAATAAAATAAAAAATAAATAAATTTTTATTTTATTTAATATTATGCCGGAACAATTAAAAGTCCGAGTATTTTTTAATATATTTAAAATCCGATTAATTAAAGCCTTTTTTTTTAATGGTGCACGGGCCATATAATAATTGTTATTTACATAATAATTATTAGCCATATAATGATTATGTAATAAATTAATAATTGTAATATAAAACAATCATTATAAGGCTTAATAATCATTATTTAAATGCGTATAATCCCGTTACGATAAAGTATAAAATACATTAAGTATTTACTTTATTATATATAATTAAGTCTCGTTATAACGAATTTTAAAAAACATTAATATATATTTATTATAAAATGAATTTATTATAGAATATAAGGTGCACGGACCGTACAAGTATTAAAAATAAAAAGTATAAACATAAAAGTTAAAATTTAAACCATTTTAAAAATGCATTAATTAAAATAATATTAAATTTAAATTAAAATAAACTTAACTTTTATTTTTTATAACGAATTAAGTGGTGACTTATCTCCGAAATTAACGAATTCGTTATATAAAAAAGTTCGTTAAATCCTATATAAAATTTAATAAAATACAATATAAATTCGTTATAAAGTAAATTCGTTATAAAGTAAATTCGTTATGGCGAGACTCGACTGTAAGACCTCGGTTCTTGGTGGTTGCGATATTTTATGTTTTACAAAGTTTTACAGAAGAGATGTACCCGGAAGCTTCAAAAAGCGGGCCTTAGCAGGGCTTAGCTCCCATGCAACGGTAACGTTATTGGTGTGCGGATACGTCAAAGACAAGGGTCTCTATGCCTGCGCTAACACCCTCAACCATGCTTCTCGGCCTTTCACGATACATACGACTTAACGTTGATTAAAATAGGTGATCGTGGAGCTCTGTTTTGTTGTTTGATTCCTCTTGTTTTAAATCATCTATAAATATTTTATTTACAGTATATCTCATATATTATTATCGTATTAATCTTGAGAATTCTATAAAATATCAGTTGTTTTAGAAGCATATTACTAGCTATCAATTAGCGTATGTGCACCCCATCGTTACAGCACCCCTCACCCCATAAATCCATCATCCTATCCTGTCTTACGTCACACCTTTTTATAAGCTCTCAGGAACAGCCCGATTTACCTATTAACTAACCTAACCTAGCCTATTACGCAGGCCAACCACCAGCCCACATTAAATTGAATTACCTACCGATCTAACTCTACCTACACCTACCTATCCTGCCTATCTACCCACCTACCCACCTACCTACCTATACTAAACTACTCTACCTCACATAGAGTTAGTTCTATTCTACACATTCCCATCTCATCTTAGACTTCACTACCACTACAGCCGTCACCACGATGGAGTCCTTTGCAAAACTCAAGCGTCGCGGCACAGACCTAATCGGTTCTATTCCCCAAAACTTACCCTCGATGCCTCACTTACCTCATCTACAACGCCCGGGAGGCGGAGGTGGAGATAAAAGTAAAGGTGCCCACACGATGAAGGGCACCTGGCAGCACATCTCCATCCCGCCTCTTCCGCGATCGTCACATTCAATTGACGTAGTGGCCGGCAATGCATACATCTTCGGCGGCGAGGCCGAGTCCTCCCGCAAGCCCGTCGACAATGACATGCACATCATAGTGCTTCCTTCGGGAAGTGCCTCTGCCGACTACTACAGCGTCAAAGCCAAACCCTCCCCCCAGCAACACGTCCCCGAACCCGCCCCCATCACGGAGGAGGACGAGATCGCCGCTGAGCTCAAGGACCCCCTAACCGATGTCCCTCTGAGCTCTCCCACCCCACTTACAGCTGGGGAACCCTCATCCGCTACATCCGCTACATCTGATAGAGGCAAGACCAACAACTTAGGTGATGTCCCCAGCGCCCGCGTCGGCCACGCCAGCGCCGTCATCGGCTCCCGTATCTTCCTATTCGGTGGCCGCAGCGCGGAGTCCGCCTCGGAACCCCTCGACGAACACGGTCGGGTCTGGGTCTTCGAGACAAAGACCCATACGTGGGCGTATCTAGACCCCTACCACAACAGCCCCGTCCCACCCCCGCGGAGCTTCTTCGCCGCAGTAGCGACCGACAAGCCGCGAGACTTCGCCATCAAGCCCCTCCGCCGGACCGAGAGCTGGAAGGAGTGGGCCGAGGGCGACTCGGCTGATGTGGGGATCCCGCAGCGCCCGATTGCGGGTAATGTTGCAGCGCACGCGGTAGACGAAGAGGACGCGGGTTTCGGCACGTTTATCATCCACGGCGGCTGCACGGCAGATGGTGGCAGGACGGGAGACGTATGGGCTTTCGACGTGCGCAGCCGCACGTGGAAAGAACTCCCATCCGCACCGGGCCCCGCGCGGGGTGGCGCCGCTCTCGCCCTCGCTAAGAGCCGTCTCTACCGCTTCGGTGGATATGACGGCGAGAAGGAACTCGGCGGACAGCTGGATGTTCTCGACCTAGCGCTCGACGAATTCGACGACCGCGTCAGCAGAGGTGAAATCGGCGTTTTCGCGCGCGGCGAGTGGCAGACTCTTGCCCCGCCCGTCACCAACGCACCCCCTCCAAGTGATACCGAAACGGCCAAGCTAGTACCTACGGAAGAATGGCCCGGGGACCGCAGCGTCAGCAGCTTGGAGCTGGTGCTCGGCGGCGGCGGACGCGAGTACCTCGTCCTCATGCTAGGCGAGCGGTGTCCCAGCGCCCAAGGCCACGCAGGCGCCGGCCAGTTCTGGAACGACGTCTGGGCCTTCCAGGTGCCTCCCATCGGCATGACAACCGCCAGCGTCACGGATGCCTTCCTGCATGCCGTGGGGCGCAGAACGGGAGAAGGCAAATGGACGAGGGTCGTCCCGGGTCCGTACGATGAAGACGAGAGCTTGGACGTCCAGGGCCCTGGTCCAAGGGGGTGGCTAGCTAGTGCGCCGGTGGGCGACCTGGAAGAGAATGGCGTGCTGATATTCGGCGGGCTGAGCGAGAATAATCAGAGACTCGGAGATGGTTGGATTTTTAGGTTGGGTTAAGTTAGGCATATGAGGTATCTATTTACGTTTAAATGTTGGCAAGCAAACAAGCAAGCAAGCTTTTGATTTAAGCTTCTGGGTTTCGATAGTAGACCCAATTTCCTTGGTAACGGTTACGACTGGTTGGGTTAAACGATTAAATGAAACCAAAAAGGCAGATTTATATCAAATAAGTAAATAAAATTTACCAGTTAACTGAAGCAAGGCCAGACAAATGATTGGGATATTTATTACAGAAGATGCGTGGGAAACGGCGCAAGGGACGGTCTTCTTTTTATGAACCGATACAAATAGAGCTTATGTACAAAGTGTCTACGTCTACGCCCGTGTCCCAAGAGGTCTCTCCGCTGTCTCTCTTTACAGGTCGCTTCTCGTAGTCTCGATACCCCACGGCTCGCTCGTCAAGTTTGTCTGGCCAGCACTGTTCTCGCAAGTGTCACGGCCACTCTGCGGGCCGGGTTTCGGTACCTCGGCGCCTGGTGATGTAACGCTCTCCCTGAGGCTCGCCAGGAGCTTCTTAGTAGTCTCGGGCGTCAGATCCTCGTAGTAGTCGTCGTTAATCTGGATCATGGGCGCGTTGACGCAAGCACCGAGGCATTCTACCTCGATAAATGTGAATAGTCCGTCGGGCGTCGTCTCGCCCTGCTTGATGCCTAATTCCTCCTTGATCGCCTTCACGATCGCATCGCTGCCGCATCCGCCGAGTTGGCAGGGTGTCTATTCCGGATCATACCTCGTTAGCAGGTGGTACATTTCCAATGGAGATCTTCAAATGTCGACCAATGACACATCCACTAGACAACCTATCTGTAGATGGCGATTCTACTCTACCCTCGGGGTGATACTGTCTAGGTTCACATCATAATGCGGTACGTCCGATAGATAAGATACGGGATCGTGAGGACGAATTCTCGAAATATAGGTTATGTATGTATAAGAAATGCAAGGTTCAAAAGACGCAAGCGACAAGAAACTCGACGCAAACTCACCGTGGTGCACGCTTGGACGTGGAACTTGCCAACAGGCGTCCGGTTATACATAGTATAGAAAGAGGCGACTTCGTATACTCGTGTGGGGGGCATCTCGAGGATGCGCGCCACCTCGTTCATGACGGATATGGATGTGAAGCCGTGCTGGCGTTGGCCCAAGTCGAGCAGCGGCATGACGGCAGCCTTCTTGTACTGGGGCGGGTAGCGCTTTAGGATCTGGGCGATGACCTCTTCATTCTGAGGCGAGAACTTGAAGGGTATCTCGGGGTTGTTGTCGGGCGTGTTCCGGTGCTGTTGTTGTCGCAAGGCAAGTTGAGCGTCAGCGATGGATCAGACATTCAAAGACTTATTTAATTAATAGATAGATAAGCTGACGAGGGGCTGGCTTTAAACTCCCGTACGTTGCTCGGGCAAGGTGTCGAGAGCGAATATAGCGAAGAGGCGGAAGCTGGTTTGGCAGGCAGGCAGACTTCCACAGCATCCGTCTATTTCGCAACTCCATATACATAGAATAGAGCCTCTTGGGTTTGATGGAGACAAGACGGGGACAAGACAAGACATACCACTGCGAGAGTCTCACTTCTTCTCGAGCTACCGGCTGTGAAGGCTCGGAACTGTGATCGAGGAACTCGGCATGCCGGGCGAGCTATCCGTCGGAGGAAGACCGGGGCCAGTTTCGACGCCATGGTAAATGGTATAGTGCGTTCAATTGAAGAGGGATGGCAGAGCTCGGCGGGTTGAAGGTCCTCGGATCATTATGAGGTTTGAATTGGCGATAAACTCTAAGATCCAATCAGATTAATCGTGTTGGTCAAAGATGACCCACATGGTTAAATCTCGGTCTCTTCGTTCCCGCCTACCTACCACTTTACACTATAAAGTCGGGCACTCTATTACATAAGACAGTACCTTAGTACCTACTAGTTAAGATAAAATGCCTCTACATTATGAGGTATTCCGTACACATGCAGCAACAAGTTGATTGAATGGGCAGACAGACTTTGACGCGAGTCTTAAATGCTGACCACATACGAGACCAAAAAGTACCCAAGGTATCGCCTCAACAAGAAACTTCGCATACCCAATTTACTTTTATTGTTCTCGTCATTCTACGTCATTATTGACACGGAAGTTACTATCATATCAAAACCGTCATGTTACGACGGGAGGCAAGATAATCCCTAAGTTAGACAGAAAAGCACACGGGCAAAAAAAGACTATCTCCGTCACTCGGCTGCACCCCCTTCCTCTTCTTCCTTCTTAGTGGCATCGCCATTAGGGGATTCGGCCTCTTCTGCGGGCTTCTCCGCAGGTTCCTCATCAGCAGGCTCCTTCGCGTCTGCTTCCTCGTTTTCGGCCACCAGCTTCTTAACGGCCTCGACCGTTGCAGCAGGCCCGCCGGGCTCGGCGATGAGAACCTTGCCGCTCTTGTCAACGACGAAGACGCCGCGAGTGACGCCCTTGGGGGCTTTCTTAAAACCGAGTGCTTCAATTAACGCGAAGCTGGTGTCGCATAGAAGCGGGTAAGGTAAGTTCTGCTTGGTCTTAAATGTGGTGTTGGCTTTAGGCGAGTCAGCCGAGAGGCCGTAGATGGCGAGGCCACCCTTGGTCAAAGGCTCGTAGGAATCTCTAAAGAGACAGGCTTGGTTGGTACCTGTATATCAGGTCAGACACAGCTAGCGCTAATTCATAGTGACTACATGGGATGAAGCTTACAGCCCGGTGTGGAGGCCTTTGGGTACGTGAAAATCACAACTCCGGATTTGCTCTCGTCTAGGAGGGCCTTTAAGGTAGTCTTTTTACCGTCATTGGTTTCGAACTCGCCGCCAAAACCGTCGAGGGTGAGTGTATCACCGACTACGGGTTTGGCGGGCTTGGAAGAGCCATTGGCATCGGCAGATTTGGTGGACTTGGTAGGTTTGGCCTTGACAGCCTCCTTAACCTTGGAGGCTGCCTTTGAAACTTTGGATTGCTTCTTGACTGGCGGCTCTGGGGCCGGCGCAGGAGCTTTGCGCTTGCGAAGCTCGACGGGCATGATGTTGGGCTTAGTGAGCTAAATAATCAAATAAATGCAGCGAAAGATGAAAAGAGCGTATCTAACAGTGATCGCTAGTTGAGGGCGACCGGGAAATAAGGATTTGAAGGAGATTTGGGTGAAGTTTGATGAAGAACGGATGGAAAACAAGAAGGAGAGGTAGTCAGGTTGAGGTCGTTGAGGTCGCAGGTAAACAGGAGGTTGCGACGAGATCTGACCAATGAAAAGGAACCATTGCGACAGCTTTCCTAAGAAGAGCAGGGGTGCGAGATAAGTTGTGTCACAGGGATATCAGGATGCCGACAATTTAAAATCCATTGCTAATAGCGAGGCTAACGTGATCAAGCCAATTCCTGTAGAGTTCCAGCGCAGGTCGGGGGGTGTTGTGTGTATTGGTGCGTGGTGTGTGGCAGAGGGCAGAGGGCAGAGGCCGCGGACGGGAAAAAAGCTGAAGGGGGCGAGGGGAAGAGGAGGTACCTCCCCTAACAAAAAAGCTCGCATATGGAGTCGTTACTCGCGACAAGGTGGTGGTAGATCGGTATGTGGTCTGGGCTACCCAGGTAAGGTACTACTCTCTACTCTGCTACTGTGTATTAAGAGAAAGAGCTGTGAGCTGTCACTACGGTAACTTCCAGAGCTGTTACCTAACCGGCTAACCCCCTCAAGCATCTATTAGACCCTAACCTAAACATGAAGAAATACGGTACTTGATATTATTTAGCGGGCTTATTAATTGATGCAGTACCGTACATAGATGATATGGGAAAACGTACGTATACACCATATGTAGCGGAAGGAAATGCATACTAGCTTTAGCGTAGGGCTAACCTTTTAGGTTCAGTACCATACTTTGTAAATTACCGTCTAAAGAGAGGTATAGAAAGGGGAAACTTGGTAGCGGCTGCCAGTTGACCGTCCTAGTGTACCTAGAAATGTATGTTAATCGTCCAAGACCTTCCAGGCCATCGCACCATTTCCCTTCTCCCATTTCCCATTTCCGCACAGACACAACACGAGTCAACATTTCTCCTTATGCAGTATTTCTCTACATCATGCGCCCAGATCCCCATTCTCTATTCGTGACTTTTAGCGACACAGAAAATCCGATGACAATCTACAGCCTCCAAGAAAAAGAAAAAGAAAAAGCGGCTTGGTACTCATTGGCTGCAATGGATGGATAGGAGCTGCAACAAGGCTCGCCAAGCCACCAATAGCCGTCCCTCTCTCTCATCAGAGTACGCGACGTACAGTATCCATCATATTATCATGATGTAGCTACGCCGTACGCATCTCAATACCGAGGCTATTAGACAACGTATTCTGTCTATGCTTCTTGTCGCTTATGAAATGAAAAGGAAAATGAGTATATTTGCACACCATTTTAATCAACTAACCTACCTAGGTTATTAACATTATCCTTTCGTATATCCTAGATAATTGACATGGTCCCAGATACCTGACATTTGCCGATTGAATATCCCTACACCAGCTAAGATGCTGGGAGCTCGATTGACGATCGTAGAACACGAATATATTCCGATATCTTTCACTTTTATGCCCATGCGACCTATACTCTCGTAATATTACATTCCACAGGGTTAGATACTTAACTACGATATTCGATTGTAATTCATTGACCATCAACCAATATTTTCTCGAGAATACCGTTGTCGTATCCCTATCCGCACAACTGGTGACCAATTACAGCCTTCATGTCACCTATTCTCTATCCCAATCATGATGGCCTAGAAGTTAAGAACGCTACTTACTGCAATGTCACCCTCTCCTATGCTCATCAACAACAGAACGACCTTGTGAGCGTGGAAACATGGCTACCGGTCAATCATTAAAATAGTCGTCTCCGAGCTGCTGGAGGTAGTGGACTCGGTCCTGGCCGGTTCTACCTAAGCTACGGCAACATGGCCGGCGCCATTGATGAAGGCTACGCTACTACTACTAGCACAAATGCTGGAGATGCTGGGATTGTAAATCCTTTATATAGATCCATATTCGTACTTAGGTATTGGATGGCCCTGGAAAATCGATGAAATATTGGTCCGACATTGGGGTGGTGATATCTTGAATGAAATAGTATTCCATCGAAGTATAATCGAGTATCAGAAGCCTAATACTATTCTGAGGCAATTATCGCAAAGAGCATTGTCCGTGACTTTTATGGGAAACCATCAGAGTATTCCTATTTTAATGGCTGCTCTCAAGGGGGTCGCCAAGGCTTCGAGTTGGCCCAAAATCATCATACTGCATTCGACGGTATCGCAGCCTCAGCGCCAGTAATTCACTGGGCTTAGTGGACTCCCGCTATATATTGGCCACAGATGCTGACGAATATAATGGGCGAATATCCACATAGCTGTGAGCTACATCTCCTTACCACCCTCGCGGTACAGGAATGCGACGGTCGGGACGGAGTTGTAGATGGTATTATATCGAACCCTAAAGCATGCGCATTCGATCCTTTTCTGCATATCGGGAGGACTTTCACCTGCCTGTCTGAGCATAAATCTATGAAGCTGAGCAGAGCTGCCGCAGTCATTGCGAATGCTAGCTGGGCGGGTCTAACTGACTCTCATAGGAACTTCATTTGGTATGGGCTCAACCACGGCACTGACATCAGTGGCGTTGTAACCAGTACCGGCATTGCAGCAACAACATGCAATAAAAATATCTATCAAGGTAATCCTATACCTCTTGCGTATCAGTGGATTCAGCTATTTGTTGAAAAAGATCCAAACTATGATTACACTGCTATAACCCAACAGGGATATGACGAAATAATGCGCAAGTCAGGGTCCGAACACGATTATATTGTTACGACTTTATTTTTAACATAGTAAATAGCAATCTGATATTTATCTTTTCCGAACTCCATCCACACATACCTATATTTTCTCGATACCTAACCACGATTTTCCTATCCTAACCAAAAGCCCAAAGAAGACATCATGAAAAGAATGGAGAAAGGAACTAATTAACCTGCAACTTATGTTTGAATATCATATTACCTAGCCTCACGTATGTAATTGGCTTGATTAATCGTCAAGTGTACGTCCTTCTCCTACCTGTCTAATTGTCAGTGGCTCACAAGGAATACACAGTGAGAAGACTTACACGAATAGACCCATCATGGGGGACACCTTGCGACCAGAAACCATCAATAGCTGGGAACATCCGCGGCATATTATTATAGGTTAGCAAAAGCCAGAACCCAATCACTCCCTTTGTGAGGACATCTAGAACGGCGTAAGCGATGATCTCGCCGTCGACATTGACACGGCGGGCACCATCAGCAATGGCCCATACACTAGAAATGTTAGCAAAAGATCTAACTTAGGAATACAAGGGTTGCTTACATAGGATACACAGTCCACAATAGGAGAGTGTAGAGAGAAATAGCCCCCCAGAAAGCTCTTGTTTTGTTGTCCCTAGTCGTTATTGCGTGTCGCCCTTTGTAGCCAACCTGATAGACGACATTAAGATAAGCGATGCAAGCGATGACATACCACCCCCATCCTTGAGCCTCGTATCTTGCGAGAGCGGCGAAGAGACCACTTAAGATCATGATCAAAGCTGACACGACGGCTATCAAGATGCTTGCACCGTTGATGCCAGCGATGAGGCATAAGTCCAACAAGAGAAGAGGTGTAGTAAGTGCCCACTAATAACATTAATGAGTAACCCGTAGCGACATTAGACTCGGGTAGAACCCATAATACTCACGTCAACATAACGGACCCAATATACCTGCCGATTGACGATCTCTATGATTTCCCCGTGCTTTGATATCTTGGTTACATAGGGGTGCATGGTTATACCATCACCCGTAGCCATGGCGTAGTAGGATAAGACACTGATTGTGGTAATCAATGCCGCGATTATATGGAACAGACGTTTTTGCTAGTCATGATTAACCTCTTACTTCTTTGTTGCGTCTTGAAGGGGCGCTGGTTTTCTTACCACTGGAACTCTCATAGCCATGACGTAAAACGTGACCGAAGATAAGACCATCAAGACGAAGACAACCCTAAGATAGATCATGTAAGTGGCTATTAGTGATTTCCCTCTTGTCAGGAGAGCTTACCATAATGTCCTATAACCTACCTCACTTGAGATTTGGAGGTATACACGAGGAAGATCTGGGATGACAGTGGGCACCGGCGCGTCGCTAGTCCTAAGAGGGGCAGCTACTCGAGTAGCCTCTGGGATCTCTTGTGGAATAAACATGATGATATGAAGTTCCCCTGGCCGCTCAACGTTCAAAGACTTTAAACTAGAAAGATTCCGATTTTGGAAGGGGGAAGTTTGCCGAATAAGAGTGCCTACCAGATGGTTTCGTAGCCGAGCGAGGTGGGAAGAAATGTAAGAGACACGAGGAGAGTATAACATATAATAATTATCAAACCAAGGACCGATATTTAAGACATCATAAATAAGGGGCAAACAATGGTGTCGTCACTTATAGTAGGTGGTGTAGAAACCAACCAATAAGATGCTAAGAACATACTCGAATTAGGCTTTCAACTGAATATTTACTAACTACCAAACCTTATAATAGTCCTACAGCAGTTTCTTGCTGCAAAACAAGAATTTCCTTTAGGTCATATACCGATATGCTTATCATGGCTGAAAGATTTAGTTCAGTCACCCCCCTTCCCTAGGCTATTGTGACGTAACTGATATAATATAAATAAACTGTAGACAGACATATCAGCAGACTACATATGTAGAAGAAAGCTATATTGGAGAGCTCTTTTATTTGGCTATAACCTCCTTGGATGGCAGATTTATCCTTCTAGAGGTTAAGGTGACGATACGGGTAATGTCGGTTCGTTAGTTTTGGAATTTGAGGAAATTGTGAATCGTGATGTGGTTAGTGAATTATGAATTACGTATATATATCATGACCATCCAAGATAATGAATGTCCTGGGTTGAAAGCTCCTGATCTTGGAACATACCTAAATAAGATACTAACATTTAAGTCCAGCCAGATGCTTTTCCTTGTTAGACATATCGTATATCATATCTCAGAATTAGTATGCTTTGAACCTATTTGTAGCATTATGAAGTTGTTATACTATTGAACGAGTAGAGAAAGGAATAAGTACGTGAAGTTGGTAGAAGTTGCCCCGCCCCCGGAAAATGAAACAAAGCTAAAGTGAAACCCCTTAGTAACTAGAGCCGAGTTTAATTGGGGCTAGGTACTCGAGTAAGTACTAATAATACATATGTATTCACCACCTTCCAAATTTATTAACGACGCCGTAGATGCCATTCTCGCTGCCCCACCAAAGAAAGGCAAGGCAGCTAAGCTTCCCGTAGAAGCTCTCTTTCGTCCCACCCCCACGTTAACCAAGACCCAACTGCATCCGACAAAACATAAAGTTACCTACCTAAAATCTAAAATCACGACAAAAAAAAAAGAATACATTTCAGACGTCGACAATATCAACCTTCTAGGAATACGACACCGTTTTACGACACTGCTATTGTTTCGCTTGCCTTGAGCGCCCATCGCCATGGAGCAACTCGCCGCGACGCTTCTATCGTTCCCTGAATCCAAATGTGCCGATTCCAGCCTGGTCGACAACGTCACTTTTGATACCGCAGCGAAGCTCCATGTTAGCAGGCTTTCAAAGTTACTTAAAGATCATAACGCCTCACTGGTTGCGCATGGCCCTCGACTCATCGACATACTTGACCCGGCCGTACATACCTTATCGTATCTCGCCGTTCTTCATACCCTCACCCTTCCCGCCCTAGACTCATCTATTCCTCGTGATACTCTTCTGAGCAAGTTTGTGCGCTTTCTATACGTCTTCGACGCGCGCCAGGCCCGATATGCTAGAAGCCATTTGCATGACATCTTGCTTGCCGCTGGAAGTGGTCAATATCTGCCGGTAAGCTGCTATAGCCTACACTCTACTACATCCTTCTATATAAACTAACGGTATTTTTTAGCCATCAGTTGCTGTCGGTGCTCTCGCAACAGCTATCCTGAGACTTGACCCGACCGGAAGCATGCTCACCATGTCCCATTTTCAACTTGTTAAGCTTGCCTACCAGACAAACAACATCCTACCAGCCCTTCCAGTACTCGACAAGAATATCGTATACTACCCCGGCATGGCCAACTACGGCGAGCCCAAATTCCTCTGCGATCTATCCTTACCGCCCCCAGCCTACCTCTCTCGAGAAACGGGGCTCACTACTAACTTGAAATCTTCCATCGTCTTAGAATATGATATATTTCGTGGTATGTCATATTGTAATTTAAGAGATTGGGCGAAAGCCTATGGGGCCTTTGAGAGGGTCGTCACATATCCTACGCGCGAAGGTGGCATAAGTAAAATCATGGTCGAGGCTTACAAAAAGTGGGTGTTGGTCAGCTTGCTCTCTACAGGAAAGCTTTCAGACCCCCCATCATACACGGGGGCCGCGGCGAGCAAGCTCTATGGAAGTATCGGAAAGCCATACACAGCGCTCGCAGTGCTATTCGTAACCGATAATGCCCAGGGACTAAAGGCCGAGGCTGAGAAGAACACACAGATATGGTTAGAAGATGGAAATACCGGGCTGGTTCAGGAAGTCCTCGCGGCGTATCAGAAGTGGCAGGTTCTGGGCCTAGAGCAGATCTACTCCAAGATTTCGCTCTCCGAGATTCGCAAACAGACCACAAGTGCGGAGACAGGAGATGTGCTCCAGAAGGACGAGGACGTGCAGACTCTTGTCCAAAACATGATAATATCCGGTATGCTAAACGGGGTGGTCGAGAAGAACGACGACGGCACGGCTTTCCTTACCTTCCTATCCCCGTCTACGCACCTTTCGGAGAAGGAGTTCGCTACGGAGCTCGCTGGAACGGCAGCCCGGTTGAAGCAACTACAGCCTATCTTCAAAACGACAAAGGAACGCCTAGGCACAAGCAAGGAGTACATCAAGCATGTGACCAAGGAGAAACTGCGAGGCGACAAAAACGAGCCGGATCCAACCCTCGCATTCGATGCCCACGTGGATGACGAAGATTTGATGGGCGGTGTGATTGCTACTGGCTGAGCGTAGCTATGTCGCTTCTTACCACCCATTCGGCGAGCGCGTTGGACTGGAACTCGAATATATTTTAATTAAGCCCGAGATTCGAGGCTGAATTCATTTTCTTCGAATCTTGGAGAGGTAGACGGCCGCTAAGTTAAGTTGGTTTGGAGAGGGGTCCGAAAACCGACATGTCACGATTGCGCGTTCTTATGCGGCGGCGTTTAGAGGACGGACATTTGCATCTGCAGGCAGCGGTGCCTCATGGATATGGCTTGGAATGCCATTTTAGCCAGAGATGGACGACAGTTAAGAAATCGTCGGACCTCTCAGCTTGTTAGAGACACTAGCAGGATTAAGAATAAACGCACTGATATCCCATTTACTACTATTGACCTTTTTCATTACCATTCTGTGTCGTAAGCACATTTTTCTCGTAGCATACAATGTGGATTTTAATTAACCCTTACTCGATTAATTCTCCTAGCTCATTCAGTATTGACAGTATTTCGCCCTAGTAGATGCCGTATCCGCGACAAATCCATATAGCCCAGACGCAATGATGAGACATCTAAACCAGAGGGTTTGTCTCAAGCAGTTCGGGGCTAACGAGCTTAGAAATTCGAATTTCAAATAGCAGCGTGCCTCATCAGGGATCCACAAACCCCTGCCATGAATTATACTAGTGGTTCACCGGCTCGACAATACGAGCTGCCAGGCCCTCGTGTTCCATCGACTCCGTATTACCTAGGTAGATAGGCACTAGCAAGCGCCCGATACATACACGCACATTAAATGAGAGTCGAGAGCTGCGATTACGAGCTAATACCAAATTGTTTGATCATGTCAGATAGCTTGAGGGCCTCAGTTCGGAAGTCCAGCTGGTTGGCGCCCATCACCTGGTAGCGTACTCTGCAACGTTTCATTAGCGATGACTTCATAATCGTACGGCTGGTTAGGTAATTAGTAGCAAATTAACATACCGCGAGTTTTCGCCGTACGTATCCGTCTTGGCCCGGCATCTGAAATGAAGCTTGGTGCAGTTGGCCGCTTCGAATATGGCAGGGAATCGGTCCTCGTCGTTTTCTTTGATCTCCATCAACTCGTCGGCTGACATGCCCATGATGACGCGCCCGACGTCGTCGAAGCATGATAGCCAGAGCTGGCCGGTGTGGTCGTTTACATTTACACTCATGATGTATCTGTACTGTGGCCGCGGGTGGGAGACGTCACACTTCTCACACCGCCATGTGCCGTCGCCTTGATCGATTACCTTCTTGTTGCATTGTTCGTTGCTACACGCAGGATACGCGAAATTATCCTGCTTGATATAGACAATCGTGGCTTTTAGATTGAAGTAGTCCGTAGTTTCCGTTCCGAGACCCTCGTCCTTTACCTGGGAAATGACCTTCGCCTGGTCAACACGGCCTGTGGCGGAGCCCATAGATGCCATGTTATTGTGGGTGGCAAAGTTGTCGGTACGGCCTTGGGAGTCGTACCAACCCTTGAGACGGTGGGCCTCTTCGATATCGGGGTCAACATTCATGCTGCCGGAGGAAAGAAGAGAAAGAGATCGACCACCGAAGTCAGATACCTTTACTCCTTTGAACGCAACGATAGATTCTGGTTGAGTGTTAAATGTAGTAGCGGTCTTACCCCATATCGTAAGGCGTACGGAGTATGAAGTGTCGTCAACCAAAGTCAATTCGCGCTTATCAAACGGCTTGCCGGTATTCTTGGAAGTGATCGAAGAGACCTCGCCAACTTCCTTCAGAACACCGATAACATCAACGGTAGCATCTTTTTCTACATTCTGGAGCTCTTCGATGTTGACGAAATTAAAGCGGGCTTGGGGCACACTGGCCTGATCCTCGGCTTTCTCGATGACAGTATCCCGCTCAAAGGCGAGTTCATAGTCGTTGGGGAGATTAGTGAATTGCTTCTTTGCGAGAGAAACACGGCAGGGGTTGCTAATATAGTAGACCTGTCCCTCTTGTAATAAATCGTAAAATTGGTCACATTGCTCGTTGAAAGCGGTCGCCTTTATTTCGCCACTTTGGTCCAGAAGATTGACAGAGAACAATTTACCCTCGCCAGAAGCCTTATGCCAGGTCTTAATGTCGGACTTCTGTGTTACACGAGCCTTGATAGTCCACTTGTGCGCATAGGGCGAAAGAGCCTCGATAGGGTAGATGACATTGTTCCCATTGCCGTGAGATGTGCTTGTAACTCCGCCCATGCGTGACGATACAGGTTCCGACTTGACCGGTGCCGAAGACTCTGTCTTTACGCCGTAGAAATTCGATGCGCCTATGGCTGCAGTAGTATTAGCGGCTTGTGGCTTGGCTTCGAATGCCTGGGGTTCGCCGATCCGGTCGTGCACACCGAGCTCAGTAGCGACTTCAAGGTCGAGGATAATTAGAATGCTATATATTGTTAACCACTGGAAATGCTAAACTGGATCAGCTTATTTAATACTTACTTCTTTCCCTTGACTGCATTTGCTTGATACGACTTAATCCGAACCAGAGCTCCGCGGACGAGGGAGTTATCGTGGATTACATGGTTGGCCTCTAAGAACAGTGTAAGTATCATTGCGTCGCGGTCTCGCAGTCAGGTAGGCATCGAAACGTACGTGTTGCCAACATGCATTGGACATAATTGCGTATATCACTTAAGACTACACGGTAGCGTTCAGGTTGGCCGGAAGGGCCTTGCTGTGGGGCGAGGGGCTTTATTTGTAGGCATTGTAAGACAGGAACTGGGAAGAGCTGCTCGACATGGTCTGGGTCGCTGAAGATGGCGCTGGGATCATAGTTAGCATATATGTATAAGTCTAGGCAGTAAAGAAAAAGATGCTGATAGTGGTTTACATACTCGAGAGCCCCTTGGGTGATAGCTTGTTGCGCTGCTGCAGCCGACATGCTGGAACTTGAATTTGCCTTGTTAGGTTGACTCTTCGAAGACAGCAAGATGCCTAGGTATGTTATGTCGAAAGCCGATGTTGCAATCTTGATAGTGGTCTTGACAGTGGGAGAGGTCAATCTAATAAACGCGTCGGCCCAAAAAAGTCGCGTCATGAATTAAGTAGTGGGTCCTGTGGCGTCTGAAGCGCGGGGTTCTTAAGGTAAGGTTCTCTAGCAATTTATATAGGTACCTAGGTACATGTACACGTGGGGCTACAAGCTGAAGCTAGGAGACTGTCAGCTGGCAACTCCTCGTACGTCATTCTCTCAGGCGTCGTCAGCAGCATCTATGTACCTAGACTGCTAAGTAGGCAGGTACCTACAAAGATCTATGTATGTAGGAGGTGCGTTGCCAAGCACATGAATACCTCGTGTCTTACGTTTCGTCTTTCTACATACATACCTAGGTACGTATTCCCTAAATCTCTTCAAACTTTTATTCTACCTACAACACCGTAACGATTGATTACTTCCATCACCATGGCAGACGCCGATGTTGCAACTAGATCTCCTGAGAGCGATGCTCAAGAGACTGTGGTTCTAGGCGACACTCCTGCACAGACAGGTCCTACAATGGGCGAGCATTGCACTTCCGACAGGCCTACCCGTAAGTCATATTCAACAAGCACGTCGACTAGTGTCGGCATTGACATATTACTACACAGCTGCCGGTCTAGCTCCAAAGGGAGAACTGAGGAAACTTGGTGGAGTGGATGTTAGTCCTCCGACACAGCAATAGCCGCCGTTTACTTATAAGCCCACGCTCATATCATAGTAGGTCTACCTTGCAAAGCCGGAAACATACCCGACGAATCCATCAAAACTCCTTCTCCTTCTTTCGAGCGGCACGGGAATAAAGTCGACGAACAATCAGGTTCAAGCGGACAAGTTTGCCGATGAAGGTTTGTACGTATACCTCAAGATGTTGGATATAGCATCACAACTTAAATATGGACGCTCGTCTAGGGTTTATATGGTTGATGTTAATTGTTGATGCAGTGTCGTCGTGATGCCCGATCTTTTTGAAGGCAACCCTGCGCCAAACTCTTCACCTATTTCCGAAGCTGAAGCGCAAGAGACCTCATTCCTCGACAAGCTCAAACTCAAGGCCGTCGAGATCGCAAAGTCGTTCGTAATTGACGAGTGGTTAGCACGCCATACCGAAGAAAAGGTCATGCCCATACTCGAGAAAGTTATCGACGCATGTAAAGGCGAGTTCGCGGATGCGGTCGGTAATGGAGGCGGCATATACGCCGTGGGTTATTGTTTCGGCGGACGGTATGTGCTCTTGCTGGCCAGTGAGCGTAGTCACGCGCAGAAAGGTTGGACTGGCGCACAGAAAGCTGCCGACGAGGAAGCAGGTGAAGGGGCAAGCCCACCAAAGAAGGGCCCGTATATCAGAGCAGGTGCACTGGCGCATGCAACTTTAGTATCACCAGAAGATTTTCAGGGATTGAAAGTCCCTGTGAGCTTGGTCTGTGTGGAAAGCGATCCTCTATTTCCCGACGAAGTCCGCGAAACCGGAGAAAACATAATGTCCACGGAGAATGTGGAGCATGAAGTCCAGGTCTATCCCGGTGTTCCGCATGGCTTTGCCGTCATTGGAGATTACGATGACGCCCATATCAAGAACGCGCAAATAACAGCTTTCGAGCAGATGTTAAGATGGCTCAAGGAACATTAGAAGACGAGTAAACAAGGTCATAACTGACTTCACGGCATTCTCTGGTTGTCTTCTAGTTAGGAGAGCACAGCGCTGGGAGAGCATGGCGATTAGGTTTTCAAGTTCAGTAGCTACGCGGATTTCAGTCATAAATAGATCCCTGAGATCTTGTTTGTACGCTTTTTCTATGGAACTGTGCAGACAATCTTTCCCCTTGTCTTATTTTCCTCGAGCAGCTGGTGCGCTTTAACGATCTCGTCCATAGGTAGGACTGTATCGATCAGGACCTTCAGTTTGCCGCTCTCAAAGTGAGGGATATATTCGGCCAGCTTGTCCCTCAACCGACCTTGGTAGTCGAGATCTCGGCTCCGTAATGTACTGCCCTCAAGCCGGATTCGCTTGTAGAGTAGCATACTAAAATCTACTCCGTCAAGGCGAGTACCGCCCAGCAAGCCGAGGAGAACCCATCGGGCATCTCTTGCTGCAACCGTGAGGTTCTTCTGGAAGTAGCTAGCCCCGATGAAGTCTACGATAAGATCAACACCCTTGCCACCCGTTGCCTCTAGAATTTCCTTGGCCCAGTCCTGTGTTTTATAGTTGAATGCCTTAGTAGCACCGAGCTCGCGCTCGACGAACCGGCATTTCTCATCTGTACCGGCAGTTGCGTAGACGGCACTCGCGCCGCTATCAAGACTGAGCTGGATCCCTGCGATGCTAACACCGCTGGCCTGTGTAGAAGGTGAGATTGAGTACCTACCTAATGCAATATGAGGACGGTGTTTGAGGGAGAGTATACTTACACCTGCGTGCCACAAAACAGTCTTACCCGCCGTGAATTCGCCTACTAGATGCAGCGCCTGTGTGGCCGTAATCCATGTTTCGGGGATGGCTGCTGCCGTCTCCCAGGAGAAGCTATCCGGCTTGTGCAGCAACATCTTGGAGCTTACGGCGATGTACTCGGCGTACGCACCGCCGTACGCTAAGCCGAAGACGGCGTCCCCGACCTCGAAGTCGCCGTGCGGGCCGGGCCCGAACGACTCGATCGTGCCGCTGAACTCGACACCCAGAGTAGACGGCGCTTGCGGCGGGAGCGGATACCGTCCCTCGCGCTGGATAAGATCCATACGGTTTAGCCCGAAGGCTTTGATACGCACTAGAGCGTCGCCCTCCTTGGGCTCGGGCTTGGGGGTCTGGGGATTTATGAATAGTGAGGTGGCGGGCCCTTTCCCGCCTCTAACCTCTGCGTTGGAGTATCGTTAGCTTTTATGTCTAGTTACATGTGATAGTTATATGAAGACGGGAACTTGGTCATAAATCACATACCGACGGCTTTCATTGTGTTACTACTCATTTTGGTTCCAAGGACAGTATTATAGGAGGTAGTTATGGCAAGTAGAACGAAGGTTCGGGGAAGCCAAAGACAATTATCTGTTTGATATTTAAATTATATGTAAGGACCTCAAGTTATCGATGATACTGTTACTCTTAAATAGTTCAGATAGACATTACCTAGGAGGTATGCTTTGAAATCAATGGCAAGTCTGGTTGGATAATTAGTACCTATTTTACTTGTTAGAGGTTAGCACCGCGTAGGTTACTTCGACTGATGGCGACAGCTGTATGTAGTGTACAGTATGCACCCTAATGGAAGATGCTAGATGACATCAAGTTTACTAAGTTAAGCTATTTAACCCAGCGAGTTCGATGAGTCAAGTCAAGCCAAATAACTGTAAAGACTTGACTCGTATCGAGTTAAGTCAAATAAAATGAAAAATGAGGCTTACTTGGCCGTATCGTGGGCTTGACTTGAGGCATCTACGGTATCGATACCGGCAAAAGTCCGGGTAATAAAATCTCCGGGATCCGATTGGTTAGAGTCGGGGTAATCTAAGATATACCCATCCAGGCCCATCCCCAACACTAAAAAGTTATCGTGATCTTAAAAAAGACGATTCCAAATAGCCTTATTACCTTGTACGTATATATAGAATAGAATAAAATCATCTCAATAGCTTATTATTACGTTAATTGTATAAAGGTGCTAGAAAAGACCCTGTAATTACCTTAATATAAAACGTTGCCGATCATACAAACAAATATTGTCTGATAATTTGCCCTAAATTGACCAATCATATCCCTTAGATATATACTAAAGTGGACCTGGATAGCCTTAACTTATTTGCTTAATAGGTAAATAAAAAAATTTTATACCTGACCTGGGCAAATATCCCGAAAAAGCTATCTATCCAAGCCGAGTCAAGTCAGGCCCGAGTCAAGTCAAGCTTTTATTTGATTTGTCGAACTCGCTGATTTAACCCGACATCTAAATTATTCCATTCATACCCGTACGCCGAATCCCGATCTCTTACTACCGGCGGAGACGAAATTATAAAACCACACTAACTCTTCGGAGACGTACGTCGGCGTTCGGTGTCTTTTGACTAACACAGAGGGGTTCGAATGGTCATCTACGGTGAGCTTTAGGTAGTTAATCCCCTAACATAAGCATATCTTAAATCCATATCTTAAATCTTCAAATCACAACTGGAGCACCAATTCTACCGGCCCTCATCTCCCTCATCCAAGCCATCACTATTTCTTCGCAGCGTAAAATATTGCGTCATACTCTCGAGTTGCTTAGGCGCACGGCGGCTAGACGAATGTGAACCATATCTACCAAGCAGCTCATCTAACCCGGGACACTTGCTGTCGTAAACACTTATCATATCGAAACAAGCATTCGAAGATAATTCTACGCTTAGCCGCTCCCTGGCTGAGGCTCGTAAATTTTATCGGAGTGCTATTCGATGAAATATATCTGGTCGTTGATATCTCGTTCGTGACATGACGGTAACGAGGTCCCCGTATAACGAGCCTGCATCTCAATTAAAGACAAGCGTAGCCCAACAGTTCGCTAGCCCCAGGACCTTATACGCATGGAACCGACTGATAATATCGGACGAGTTGGTATTTCGAGGCGAAACGCCCATATCGACAGACCGACTTGAAGCAAATAACGACCTTTGCAAGTTGGACAAATCCCTACGTTGAGTAGAGCATAAGTAACGATAGTTCGAGATGACGGGATGTAGTAAAAATCCACCTCGATAGAATCTGTCTACTCTTCCCTTACTATGTAGAGAGGTTTAGGCGTTAATGAACGCGTACGAGAGTAGAACATAATAAAGACAAAGTCACAACTAAATGCAGAGCAGGCGTTGATTGGTAGCCCTGCGTTATTAAACAAGATCTCGTATGTATTTGATTACCGTGGCAGCGGTTGCATCGAAGATCTCTGAATTCATCCATGTGGGAACGGTGGAAATTACATGGAGAGGCCCATGTAATCCCCATTAAGCAACTCCGGAGGACTCCATAGACGAACTTCACTTTATTGATGTTAGATAGCCTATTTCGATCAAGAGCCCCATACCTGTTTTTGACATTACAATGTGTTGTACCTAACGTATGTAGTAAGTGACACAATAAGTGACATGACAGGTCGAGTTAAACTAAAACTCGGAGATCACTTCGGTCTCAGCTCTAGCTGCGTCTGTACTATCAGTCCTAAGTTGAAACTTACAGGCGGATCATTGAATCGAATTAGACATTAGACATTCAGATTTGAGCCAGATTCAGCCCCGATGCCTTAAAGCTTAGGTGAGATCTACTACACCATCAACCGACTTGGCCTCAGTGGTCTGAGCAGACGCTTGTGGAACCCAAGGAGAAAGGGAAAACCTACGTATGTAGTAAAACCCTAGTTAGTTGATCGAAAAGACATGCTAGAGACTTTTAGCGAGATTCTCTTAGCGAGATTCTCTTAGGAGTTTTTATATCGTTAGATACGAGGCACCAACATGGAAATACTGCTTGCTGGCTGCATGGATTCTGCAAACGATAGACTATTACATCTACACCGCATCGAGGCAATTATCTGAGAGGACCCATCTCCCTTTAACACAGCTGTGCATGTGTATGTAATGGGTGATTATTTTGCATTGAATTTTCCATTTTCCTTATCCCAAGTGCCTTCGAAGACGGATTGATACGAGGTGCCAAATTACTTGCAACAACATGGTCCGATTGCACCCATGCTACACTGCTAGATCTAGAACAACGGAAAAATATTGAGTCCTGGTTCTTATCAAACCTGTTAATGAGGGTTGGCTGGCTTTCCAGAAAACCTCGAGGAACGCTTGGTACATAATTTCCGCGTCGGTCTAGGAGAACCAATCCAGATTTCAATCCTGGAGAGGACCAGCCGGTTATCGGTAGCGTCTTGTCAACCAGGGGGCTACCTCAGGGGTTTTACCCCGTCATAACTCGAAAAGGCATGATGATAATACGACCAGCCCTATTGTACAATGGTAATTAGCTGGGTATCTGGGTGTCTGGGTAGTTACACGTCTTTCTCCTTTACACGTGCTGCATTAAACATAAGTAACATGCGAATCGTGTAGGTATTCCGTACGGTGTTCCTCGTTACGATCAGCTTTCGAATTGGTTGGTTCAAAAGCGGCGCTCGTACTTTTCCCAAATCGGAGTTGGGGTCAAAGTCTGAGAGTCTGTTAACTGTGCCTCATCTGTTTAGGAGGTGTGAACCCCTGAATAAATTTACCGAACAGGGTTAAATGCATTGCTGTTTTAATCGGCAATACCTTATTCTTCCTTGCATAAATACCCAAATAGGTAAAGTTTTATCGGATTTCCCGCATTAATCCATATATAGTATGTACTATGTATGTATGTACAATAGTACCTAACGTACTTGGGCTGTTATCGGAGCGATTGAATTTTTTGCTTATGGTGTCAGCATCTTTGTCCACAATTGCGGTTCCTGCAGAAGCGCAATCTGTTCCTGCGTCTGCAATTGGCAAGTGGCAACTTTGACTTTTAATCTTTGACCTTTGACCTTTGGCCCTTTAAATTTTTGGATTTTGACCCATCCCGCATTCTGGGTATGCTAGACATTATCTGAGCACGGATTCGAAATACGATAAAGATGGGTACGGATTTTACGATGGCAACTCGGTCCGGAACAAGCCTAGCCGTATCACCGATAAATCAGTATGTACTAAGAATAAGTTGATAATTATGGGCTTTTAGCCAAGCAGAAAAGTCTAGGCTAGTGGCGTCCCAATTTCCGCAAACCGCCAAACTAGAAACTGACTGTGCATACCGACATGTCGCCCCAGCTCTGGCGCTGTTCCTTGCAGGATGCCTGCATGCTACACTACACTATGTATGTACAATACATACGCACAACCCCCCGGCCCGCATCATCCCAACCAGCCAACGAACGATGAGATCCTAAATAATTCCGAACTATTGTTCCAAGACCCATCTCGTGTTCCTAGTTATGGCCACCTGATAATGATTCATCACACCGATTGTACTCAACCATATTGAATAGCCCTGCAAGATACCTTGAGTTCAATGTGCTCCTAATAGGGGCTTAGCAGCTGGTACACCCCCTTTTAGCCTTTTCAGAGGTATATCGACCTGAAGTGAGGTATGTATCCTGAGTTGTACATGCTAAGAACGACCAAGTCATCATGGGGGAAATCCACACTTCGACCCCAAAAGGGGCAGATTTTGACGCTCATCATGCACCGCTAACTACTATGTTAGGTACATAGTAGTGTACATACACTAAGAAGAGATACCCCTGAGGTCCCTCTGGGGGGCGAACGATACACGCACTCATAATACACACATAATGTATTCTGCGTGTGTACAGTATGTGCGCAACAGCTTTCAGCCATGGGCATAATTACTCACGATTGGATAAAAAAGCGAAATAAGTTACTATGTATGGGAGAAAAAATAAAATAAAAATGGAGCAAATATAGATGGAGACGGAATCGACCCTGCTATCCTAGCGCCTCGGGCCCCGTCGTCCACTGCCCTGGCAGTAACCGGGATACGGTAAGGATAGGCTATCTATCTAATGTACGAATACTGGAGTAGGTGAAGTTCACGTTGCTTGGTGTACAGCTGGAAAGCAACCTGGAAAAGCAACCTGGAAGCAACCTCCCCCCTCCCCCCATGCCGTTTGTTCTGTATATAAATCCAACACATCCGAAGACCGACAATCCTTCCTCTCTTTTCCTTCCTCACCCACACAACTTTCTCTGCAAATAATCACCCTGACTTATCAGTCAATTTCATTCGTTATACAGCATACTTATTTGCTCTACCTATAGATACTTAATCCTCGACAAACAACTCTTACACGAGTCACTTAATACCAGACAACTCAGTCAAAATGAAGTTCTCCGTTGCTGCTCTCGCCTTCGCCGCTGGCGCCTCTGCTTCCTACCCGGTCGCTAGCGAACCTGCTGCCTACCCTGTATCCAGCGCCAGCGAGCCCGCTGCTTACCCCGTCTCCAGCGCTAGCGAGTCTGCCCCGGTTTCCAGCGCTTCTGCTTCCGCCTCGGTCCCCGTCGTGACCTCCTCGGCTTCTGCTCCCGCCTCTTACCCGGCTGTCAGCTCTTCGGCCTCTGCCCCGGCTTCGTTCCCTGCCGCCGGTAACGCTACTCAGTACACCACTGAGGTCGTTACCTCGTACGAGACCTACTGCCCCGGCCCTACTCAGATCACCTACGGCACCAACACCTACACTGTCACTGAGGTATGCAAATCTACAAAATCTATCAAATAATTCCGTGACTAACAAAATTCGATAGGCCACCACCTTGACCATCACTGACTGCCCTTGCACCATCAGCAAGCCCATCTACACTACTTCGTCAGTTTCCTGCGCTACTTGGTAAGAAGGATTTCTCACATAAGACTAAATGAACTAACATGGAAACAGTGCTCCCGCTGGTAGTGCTCCCGCCAGCAGTGGCCCGGCCCCTCCTACTTACCCTACTTCGGTCCCGGCTCCCCCCAGCTACCCTAACAGCACCGCCAGCACCGCCCCCGTCAACACCCCCACCTCGGTTTACCCTACCGGTGGTGCTCCCGGTGTTACCAGTGCTTCCGCCTCGGCTACCGCCATCCCCACTGCGGGTGCCGGTAAGGCTGCTGCCCTCTCCGGAGCTGGCCTCGCTGGTCTTCTCGGTCTTGCCGCTGCTCTTTTGTAAGCGGGCAATTTCAGCTCAGTAACCGAGTCTATGACCTACGATTCTCCTTTGTTCGATAGTACCTAATATTCGGTGATCGAGAGGGATGCTTCCGACGCTCATGACAGGAAGCAGTCTGGAGTTGTGAATGGGATTGGAGGAAGTGTTTAGACAGGGATTGTTAACGGCACGGTGTTCTGCATTGCACTATGGAGTATAACGACCACGCATGCGGGATCTAATTTTGATTCTTGTAATTTCTTGTCTCGGTATTTCGGGCAACCAACCAAATATAACCACGGAGGATTACAATTGTGTGAGGTCTCCTGGCGCTTGGAATGGTCAGGGAGGTTTTTTGGATCTTGAGGGGATATTTCCTGGCGGATACTTGGATGGAAAAATCACTTCGTTTCGGAGCCTTTGGACAAAATCAAACCATTTCAATCTTCACCACCTTTTACCCGTCTTCACCCAGGAAATTTCAATTCTCGTGCTCTTGCTAATTGCTGACTTCTCCTTCATGTACAAACCTTGGAGAGTCGGGCTTTGTTAATATTTTCGGCAAGGGTTGCAACATATCTGTTGTCTTTTGGCTGGATGTTTTATTGGTCTCCGGACAAATTCTCCTGTGCTTACGGAGTCCTTGTACAATAGTTCAATGGCAACGTAAACATGGCTAGGAGGCCAAGTTTTGGTCCGGCATCTTAATATTCTCTCCTTGTTCCTATGATGTGTGACTGAGTCCTATCTATGATCGTAAATCTCTCAGTTGGTAACTTTGTCAATGCTTGTATGAGTGTATACCTAACAATCATATCATAATAGTCCCCAAATGTTGAAGTTTATTTAGATTAGTTAAGTAACTATTGTTTCTTATTATACCTGGTATTCCCGCTTCAATCGCTCCACGAAGCCTAGTATATGTCCAGATAGGTATATATTCATTTGTTTTGGATATTCACGCAAGGTGTATTTACCGCTTAATTGGGCAGAGTGATCTACGAATGGCTAGGTGTTATATTTAGATTCAGATCAGATGAACGGTGGGCATGATCGCGTACATTAGTAACGATGTACCCGTTGATCATTGACGATCCAGTTGCCCGTGCACTTACGCTACTTACAATTACACGTAAGCCGGCGGTCTCAGGTTTAGTAGATGTGTCGATCTTATGTATTTAGTCTCGATTGACTATAAGTTAGCTGGTTAGTTGTTAAAACAAGTCTTACTAAAGGCGAGAGACACAAGGACAACGTCACTTGTTTACGACACCCGAGACAAGACACGTGTTTCTACTTTAGGACACGCTCATGTAGCCGACATGAAAGGTACTGTGTAGGTACCTACATGTCTATACGTAATGTAGGGTTACCGTACCGTCATATGCGTGTAGGTTAGGTACGTTATGCTATTCGTAGAGATGGATCTCATATCACACCTCGGCGTCCCTGCGTCGTCAGGTACCGGTAGACTACTGCAACATTGCTTCCCGCCCAACCCTTTATCAGGACGAGGACGCAACGTGACGGGGCGTGCATGTGAAGGATTAAGATTTATTAGGGTCGGTTGCACCCAAAAGCAGCCCAGCGTCGGACGGGTACCTGCCTTAGGTATCTATCCGGCCTTGTGACTGACGTCGTCGCCGTAGGGACTAGATACATGTAGGTAGGTACTGCATATACCTAGGTATGTACCTCGTGCGACAAATCTACCTAAGGTACATACGTGAGACAAATCCAATAAGGGCGTGTGCGACGTAGATGGCGCAGAGTATTGCTTGTGGCTTAGGCGGCTTGGTTATTCAAATACCTACATGCATAGCCTCGACCTCTGCTGGTCTCAGCGTCTAGGTATTTCGCCGAGGGTCTCGATCGGGGGTTTAGGTAAGTTCCATACGGCTGGCGCAGTAAGATTTGTCCGTATCAAGGGATAGGCATGTAATAATAGAAGACTTATCTCAACTTTACTTACATGTAAGCCGTCAACCGGGGACGCTGTTCACCTTGGACTCACTCGGTGTATCTAGGTAATATCTAATATTCAGATAGATACCGTTAGTCAGTCTCGAGGGTAGTTGAGAATATTCTCGTATCTAAGACTCCGAGACTCTTGATTCTAACAAAGCATATAATACTTACTTAACGCTGTCGATCATGGAGATAAGAGATCCCAGCACTACCCCTCATGTGAAGTTCGGTAGGTAACAATGGCATTTTCTCAAAGATATTCTCATTCACCTCGGTAAATTTTATCCAAGAGGTTCCCAAGTTGATATGTAAGAGATTCATATGTGACCTTTAATAAGAGTTGAATGAATATAGGTAGGTAGGCTTAATGCTGTGATCCGCTCGCACCGCCAGGCTTCATTTACGTAGCAACGCTCTCCCTGATTGCGGGAACACTATTTGATTGGTTATACCCCGACTTATATCTTTGTCTTTGATATTGCCACACATATAAGTGCTTATCAGCGAAGATAACCGACAGTCAGTATCATGGTTCTCCTTCGCCTTTTCTGTTTAAACTAAGCGTCTATCTATCTCCAATTTCAAACTTAAACCTCCATCTAATAATCAACCCCTCATTGTTACTACCTACTACCAGCAGTTGGTGGTTTGCAAAATCCGAGCACCAGCCATGCCCGAGGTCAAACAAATATCGACAACGGCTTCGTCGGCCGATGTCGAGAAGACGGCAAGCGATCCGCCTACAGCTGCTGCTGCCGGAATTGGCTCTATGAACAAGCATATAATTAACAATGACCCGGACGAGGCGTTGAAGCTCGTGGCTGGAGAAGCTGTAGTTTTGACGCCGGAGGACGAGAAGAGGCTATTGAGGAAGATCGATCGTAATTTGATGCCTCTGCTTTGCGTCGTCTACGGGTTGAATTATTTGGATAAAACTACTTTGTCGTATGCCTCTATCATGGGGATTAAAGTGAGATGAGCCCGTACTCGTGTCAAGGCGTACACTTACATTGTGTGTGTGCTCCCCGCAGACAGATATCAATCTCATAGGTAAGTCCTCTAGGAGTCGACAGCATATATATATAATACGAATATCATTGACAAATGTTCATCTCAGGTCAAGACTATTCCGTAAGCCATTTCCTCTTCCCGGAGAATTTAACTTCAGAACGCCCAAGTGCCTTCTTGGGCTCTTAGTTTGATCCATACTTACCTTTACCCTTAACTATACAGTGGATAGCGTCTGTGTTTTACTTCGGCTATCTCTTCTGGGAATGGCCAACAAATCGTCTTCTCCAGCGGCTACCGTTGGCGAAATATTCCGCCTTCAACGTAATACTGTGGGGGCTCGTTCTCTGCTGCATGGCGGCCGTGAAGAACTTTGCCGCGGCAATGACGGTGAGATTCTTCCTCGGCGCCTTCGAGGCCGCCGTTAGCCCCGGGTTTGCCCTCTTCACGTCCCAGTGGTATACCAAAAGGGAGCAGGGGGCGAGGGTGGCGTGGTGGTTCAGCTTTAACGGCTGGGGTCAAATCGTGGGAGGCGTTGTAGCTTATGGCATTGCCGTTGGCACAGAGGCTCATCCTATATTAATCAAGTCGTGGCAATTAGTCTTCCTCGTCACCGGTTTCTTCACGGCCTTCATGGGCGTCTTGTTCTTATATCTCATGCCAGACAGTCAACTGAACGCCCGGTTCTTGACACAGCAGGAACGAATTATGGCCGTCGAACGTATTCGCATCAACCAACAGGGCGTTGGGAACAAGCATTTTAAATGGTACCAGTGCAAAGAAGCGCTTACGGATCCTATGATCTGGGCGTTCGTACTTAATAGTGTCATTTGCTCGATCCCTAACGGTGTGTTATCCATAGGTACACTTATACTTGAAACCTAAGACTGATGCTTCCGGTCAGGTGGAATGTCAAATTACTTCTCACAGCTCATCGTTTCATTCGGGTTCTCGGAGAATGAATCCCTTCTTTTAGGGGCACCCGGCGGTGCTGTCCAGGTCATCACTCTCCTAGTCGCTGGGCATTTTGGCGATCGATTCAAAAACCGCATTGTTAGGCATCCCATTCCGTACATTGCAAACAATTCTAACGAATTATCTAGCTATTTGGTGCTGCCGGCGTCCTACTGTCGGTGCTGGGCCTGTTTCTTATCCTTCTCCTACCACTTAATAACAGTGGCGGGCGGCTGGCCGGTTATTACCTGTATCAGTCCTCTTCAACCGGATTCGTAGCCCTACTAGGACTTATCTCAACGAATGTGGCAGGATGGACAAAGAAGACCACCGTCGCAGCAATGTATCTCACCGCCTACTGCGTAGGCAACATTATTGGCCCTCAAGTGTTCCAGACCAACGATGCGCCGCAGTATCGCAACGCCAACATAACGATCCTCGTATGCATGTTCGTATCGTTCGCTATTTTAGTCTTTATCAACATCTGGTGTAGGCGTCAGAACAAGATCAAGGCTGGTATCCGAGCCAGTCCTGGTTATACTAAGGTAGATGGGCAGGAATTTCTTGATCTGACGGATCGGGAGAATCCCGAGTTCGTTTATAGTTTATGATGCACTCACCTTGCGGGAGAAAGGGATTCGTTTAAGGCGATATCCATTGGCAATTGACTATGCCCAGATATGCCATGACTCTGGCCGAATATCAAGATGCAGATGGGCCTTCACACGGGCCACTGCGAGGGGATACGGTTTATGTATATATGCCCTAGATTTACTTGCGAGTTCTTACTCAGCTCGTGTTTCGCGAAGCATCACTACGCTATAGCCTTTTCCAATGTCATTCAGTTCGCAACTATTGGATTTCCCGGCTTATTCACGTAATTCTCTTGATCCTACTCGTATGTGCATAGTTTAAAATAGCTTAGTTATGCGCTGACTATTAGAAGTGCTCAACACTTGAATACCCAGATCATCTATTTCTATAACTACCTAGTGATGTTCTATCTATCTATCTATCTATATATATCTATGTCTAGGGAGTGTCTTTCGGTATAGGAAGTGGATAAACGCCAGACATAAGCTCACAGAGCTACCTCGCCTAATTACATGCTAAAAGAGATCTATGTATGGCTTCAAAGCCGACCTAACGGAATGAGTACCTGACTTCTTTCCTTACCTCAGCTGCAACTTCTAGTGCTTCCTTTCTTGACTCCGAGAACACATTAAAGTAAGCTATAAACGTGTTTGCTCCGGAGCTGGGATGGGGGACCTTCTGACCCCTTTTCACGAGACAACCGTAGCGATTAACTAGTATCTAGGGTCAGTATTTTGTTGCTCGTATTGTACGATAGAAGAGCTTAGAATAAATTGTAGACAGCACTTACTGTTCTTCGCTAGGTCGGGCCTTCGAGATATCAATTCTTTGCAAATGTCATCCGAGTCGAAGATGCCTTGGCAGGTTTCGTCGAAATCAGCGCCAATGAAAACGAGTACTCCGGTGTGCTGGGCGCCATTTTGGAATGGGAGGGATAGTGATCTAGCTCGATCCTTATCCTCGATGGCCAGGGACAGGGCTACGCCAAAATAATCAATGCCGTAGACTGACTCGACGATACGGCTGGCGGTAGATCCCGGAGGCCTTGGGTTGATTTCCAAAATCCAAGGAGTTGGGGGAGCGGATGCTGTCGCTTTTTCAATTGGCTGTAGATCTAGAACGCCATCATCAGAGCGGTATTCAACAGAGGATCGTTGGACTCGGGCTTCCACGTGTAGAACGCCACTAGAAATTCCGATCCGCCGGAGAGTTGCGCCGATAGAACTCCGAAGCATCTCTAGCTCAGGAGACGGGAGAGCAGAGGGGTGGACAAGATACGTCTCTAGGAAGCTTCTTTGAGAAGCGGGAACCGTCATATCGCTTTGATCTCCCGGTTTTGGGAAGTCGTCGCAGATTTCGCAGAAGAGTATTTCGCCATCCAGTAAGATCATATTAACGTCGACTTCTGGGCCATCGCAATACTTCTCCATCGTGAATGACTTGAAGAAAGTCTTCTGTATCATTTCTACCCCGGCTCGAATCTCTGCCGCGTTGTTCACTCGTACGATCCCTTCCGAGTTAAGGCCTAGGCGCGGCTTGAGAATTAAGGGATATGAAAGGTTCTCCGCCGAGGCAAACCCAAGGGCCTCTTCGGCTGTCGAGCCGTGGAATGGATTGCGACCTTCGGCAATGCCCACTTGATATTTGTCAGTTGCAATTTCATATGACTCGGCAGGCTGGTGCGGGAGGCCAAGCTTCTCCGCCGCTCGGCTGACCGTGACTTGAAACGAATCTATAAAAGCGACGATGTCATCGATCTTCTTGTCATACGACTTAACCATCTCGACAATACGGTCTGCCATGTCGTGACCAGGCGGGTTCGTCCACCAAGTACCAGCAGGCAAGAATGCCTCATACCACTTTAATATCAGTGTTAGTACCTAGTTATCTCTCTAACGAATTGTGGAAGTTCGGGTTTATATTGACGGTAGCGGCTCCTAACTCAGCTATGCTGGGAAACCCAACTTCTAGGCCAGATCCAAAATTGGGTAGGTTAGGTAGATAGTTATGTGTTTGAATTACATACCTGTGAATATTCGCTCCGTTCGATCCAACATCCAGGCTTGTCAATAATTACGAGGTCAATTCCAAGGGCACGGGCTGCTTCGCATGCATACACGGTCCATGACCCCTGAGATGGTGCACGGTAGCTAATGCCAACGAGAACAAGTCGCTTCCGAGTGGTTGATCTCGGTAAAACCCAAGGCAGAGACATCTTATTTCCAAATTCGGCCTCGAATTCCGGAGGTACAATAGGTACTGCTGGGTTTCCATCGGTCCCTGAAAATGATTGCTGTAGCAGTATTCCCCCAGCAGAGGAACGAAACAGTTCAGGGAGTGAAATCACATCTAAGCAGACAGCTTCCCCAGAAAGCGATTGGAGTGGCGTTAAGAAGGACACTACCCGTTCGACACCGAAGGCACCCTTAAGTCGAAGAGGGATAATATCCGACCTGATAACTGTACCTCTCTGTAAAGGGGTGATAAGTCTCACGAGTCTCTCCTTGGACGATTCGGTAGCTTGAAGGCAGTTAACGAGAAATTGGAAAGCTTCTCGTGAACCAAAGGACTCCGTGCTGGCGGGCTCAATCTTATTGTTGTCACTTTGAATCCAAATGGCATCCTTTCCTGGAAGATGTACGAATTCTGAGCTTGACAATGCTGGATTCAACGACAAGGTAAGGTCGATAATCTGCAATGCTGTATTGCCGTTTGAGGCACACTTGGTGATATGTGAGGTAGCCCAACGACATATAAAGGCAGCTGATAGATGTTAGTATTGATTTATATAATGTTTTCCAATCGAATAACTTGCCGTGACCTTTCCAGAAGATGGTGACTTCTCTTTCTACCATCGTGAAGACGTTGCCTTGGCCTAGGATATTCTTGTGGATTTTACTGTTTCTTGATAGAACTAGAGAACTCGATGATGTCTATCCTTACTGTCTGCCATCACTGGCGAGTAGACCCAACTTATATACTGCCATCATGACATTCTAAGATGCTCGTGGTCCTACCTGGCAGCTTGTGCTGTGGGGATGTATTAGTTCAGCTTGTGTTCATGTCTTTGCCAATTTTATCACAGATTTCATCTTTTACTCTTTAAGGATAGATTATCACCAGCCGGAGGCCGTAATATCGCGTTAGACATAGCGGAGAACAATATCGTTTCGGTGTTGTCTTGGCTTGTATCGGCGTTCTAAGTAGTCCTATTCGCGAGGCTATACATAAGTTTCCCGATTGAGATGCTTGTTGCGGCAGTCAAATAACAGCCCGATGCATAAGCTGAGTCATTTATAATGAAGTTATGAGGCGTTCAAGGGACGTGCGTGGCACATAGAATTTGAATAACATGGGTCGTGAATAGAAGTGCGCGGCCGCCTACATAGTCTCGTACACGAGTCTCTTGTAGGCGCGCGGGTCTATATTACTCGCCACTCTATACACTCAAAGCTCATGTATGGAACGCCCCCAAACGTACCGGATAGGTATTGAATTAGGTTTCTCGGAGGGAATTGTTTATGCGGCTCGCTATATGTTAGAATTGAGGGTATCGCCGTTATGATTGGCAGGTAAAAATATCAAGTAGATGATGCGAAGGAATTACGAGCATCGGCTTGTTCAACGCCCGTGTCCTACGATATACCGGTATCATCTGAGGCCGTTCGCAATGTCCTAAGGAATGGGATTGGAGTGATATGGACTAGAGGACCGATATCAGAATAAATGGCTCGTCTCGATGAGAGAAATATTCCATGAACCAAGGCCATTGTAGCTAAACGAAAAGAAAAAATATCGTAATATTTTAGCCTAGGAACTCAATTATATAGGAACACGAACTTATTTTGATACTCTTGCAAGGACAAAGGTAGACGTCACTACTGGAAGGTCCATGTTGTTGTTTTTAAATCTAGGACCTTGACGGCGGATTACTATATTTGAACTTGAATACGAAAGTTATTTGAGTAGATACTATTAGTCAACGTGCTCGCGAGTAGGAATAGAAATAGCGGCAAGCATTGTTGAGGGATATGATATAGTTTAACCGGAACGGATCGTCTACAACTTGGCCCTTGCCTCGATCGCTTTGTGCGCTTCCCCTTTATGCTTAAAGTATTCTATGACCTTGGATCTTGCTACATTGACCACCGACGCGTCCTCGATGGTGGCCGGGTACTGGACTTCGTTTTCAAGCTCGTCGTGGACCGCATTTTCAACCAGCTCCCTTAGAACTCTTCGCAACGTCTTGCCCGACCGCGTCTTGGGGATCATTCCCTTGCCCTGGATTATGCCCCCGAGCGTTGCGATGCCTCCGATCTGGCTCCGAACAAGCTTCTGGATCTCGCCGTACAGCTGTTTATCTGGTACGGCGGACGTGGGATGGTCAGGCACCGACAAGGTTATAAAGGCAAAAGGAAGCTGGCCTTTTAAAGAGTCTGGGATGCCGACTACACAGGCTTCTGCGACTAGAGGGTGGCTTGTTATTGCCTGCTCGATGGAACCTGTTCACTACGCTTCAGTATAAACTCCATCTCAAGGACGGGATGGTTTACCAGTCGAAAGCCGATGGCCGGCCGTATTAATCAAGTCATCACTCCGACTCATGATGCTAATGTACCCAGAAGCATCTATCATGCCAGCATCTGTCAAGTTTTCGGTTAGCGAATGCCTCCCAAGCACGTACGAAAGACCTACCGCCGGTGTCAACCCATTTTCCACCAAACCTTTTTAGATAACCGTTATAAAACCTTTCATCGTCTTTCCACAGCGTCGTGAAACCTGTTGGGGCTAGGGGGATCGCCAGAACGATGTTGCCCATCTTCCCCCTCTTTACCTCGTTCCCATTGTCGTCCACCACTCTGACGTCAAATCCTGGCATTGCCTTGCCGGCGCTTCCCGGTTTGATCGATAACCGCTTATAGCTTTTGCTTATGGTACCCTCGGTGTCTCCTACGTGCGGGGCCAAGCAGATGCCCGACATTGGTGATCCGGATTCTGACGACCACCAATTGTCCACTACGGTGGCGCCGGGAGCACCATATCGTTGTACGAGGTCGTCATACATCGTTACTATTGAGGGCTCGGACCTCTCACCCGCAAGGAAAAGCGCCTTGAGGCTTTTTAGGCCACCCTGTTCGCCTATCCGCTTGAGAAACTTGTTCTCTGGGTCGTCTCTCTTAATAGCTCGAAGAGCAGCTGGAATCGTCAGAAGGATAGCTCAAATAATTACCTTTCAAGCGGTACCTACTTGGAGCAGTGAAAAGGGTCGTCACTTTATAATCTTGTATGATGCGCCAGAGAGTCGAACTATCAGGTGTTCCGATAGGCTTTCCTTCGAAGAGGATTGTGGCAGCCCCGATAAGAAGGGGGGCATATATGATGTAGGAATGTCCTACTACCCAGCCTATATCACTTCATCTCAAGTTAACATTTACCAGTGGAAAGATTTCCTTGATTTACAACTCACCTCGCTGTGAACATCACATCCCTAGGTCCATGAACGCCAAATAAATAGCCCATCGAAAGGTGTAGTCCAACCGCATGACCACCTGCTTGACGGACAACACCTTTGGGTGAACCTGTTGTTCCACTGGTGTAGATTATGTAAATCTCATCGGTAGCGCCAACAGGCACGCAATCGGCCCTCACGCCTCTCGCCTTGCAACTGCGCACCATCTTGAACCAATTACGCTCGCCGGCTGCTTTATCGAGATTATCCCAGCGCAGTTCATCTCGCTGCCAGACTATGACACGACTTGGCTTATGACTAGATAGTTTGATAGCCTCCGAGATAAAAGGCTTGTAACTCATGGGTGGTTTGGCTCCATCAATCCCACATGAAGCCGTCAAGATAGCCACGGGTTTGGATGCGTCGATGCGCTGGGCTAGAGAGGCTGCAGCAAACCCGCCAAACACAACAGCGTGGATCGCCCCAAGCCGGTTAATGGCGAGAATTCCGATGAGAGCGGCTGGTATCATTGGCACTGAATATTGTTAGCTATACTGTTATCATGATGGGGAAAAAAGGCAATGGGGTAAGCGAACTATAAACCAACACAACATCCCCTTTCTTAACGCCTTCTTCTCTCAGAGCACCAGCCGTGACCTCGACCTGGTCGAGTAGTTGCGCGTAGGTGATAGTAGCCTTTGTCCTGGTAACGGGGCTATCATAGAAGATGGCAGGCTGGTGGCCGTTACCAGCGAGGACGTGTCTATCAACGCAGTTGAAACATGTTGATATTTTACCGCCTGAGAACCATTCCCAATGAGGATATTCCAATCCGCTTTTGAGTTTCCGCGTCGTCTTAGTTATGACCGCGTCTGGCTTCTTGTGCCAATACAGCTTCTCAGCATGGCGGCCCCAGAATCTCTCTGGATCCTCCAGGGAACGGCGGTGAACCTCGTCTTGCGGATGGGTCATTGTTTTACGTCCCGTGGCGATCTCGAAGCTGAAAGCATGAGATTAGACGCTTTCTAACGAGGTTATCGACCGACTATGAATGAGATGATATAAAATTAAGTAGCATTGGCTTATCTATCTAAGTCTATGATCACTTATAATGCTCATCGAGTCTCACTTTATGATGAAAGGGGCACTGTTTAGTAAGACCGGTACTAAGATACCCCGCGGGGGAATGACCGTAGGTCCAATTGTGATACATGTCAATCACTTCTCCTCAAATAAGATTGCTTGGGGCTCTGGGGTATCGGATGCACGTCCAAGCCACATCCTCGGTAAACTCCATTTGTACCGAGTTAACAAAGAGACTCAAACCCCGAAATCCTGCGAAGCGGGTTGAGACGATTGTTTACGAGGACATCACGTATAACCGTACTTCTTTCGAAGGTTGAGATGAACATGACGCTAAGATATGACAGACAGCAAGACTTGAGATGTTTGTTTGAGGTATGTAAGAATACGCGGTACCAAGATACGGGATATATGGGCCTATCCGCACGGCGCATTAAATTAAACGACAAGGTAGATGATAAAGACTTTATTACAACCTCGCCGGATTGGCAATTTGCGAACCGGCTTTATGGAACGGACGCCATGTCAAGGTCCAAGACGTCGCAATTCAAGGAACCGAATCTGAATTACGACGAATCGACCGGCAATTCCCCGACTCCATGCAACCGTAAACCAAAAACTCCCGGTAGCCCGCCCGAGTTACATACCGACCCCGACCATTCATGCAATTGATGCTTTATGCTGATGCTGATGTGTCATGCAAAGTAACCAACCTCATGTATCTCATAATGCAATGTGTAATGTTGTAAACCCTGAATGCAACCAACCCGTTGACCGTGGCGTAGGTCATAGCGAGCAGCGTCGTAAATTCGCCCAACCTCTGTTGATGACGTTGGGCACGTCTATTGTCTATTCGGATGCGGATTTCTCCGTAGACATCTTAGGAGGCGTTGAATATGACCCATATACGCTCTGCTGGCCCCTAGACGCCATTTTCAAATTGCTGAATCTCGCCTCCGGAAGTCGTTTGCCCGCTTTAATGCTCTCAAGAACCCACTCGGCACCTATATACTTCATCCCGCAACCACCAACCTTCTGGATTTCTTTTTGTAATTTCCCTCCTGCTAACCCTCCACCAGCACCCCTAGACCCTCCGGTCGGCCTACCTAAAATCACGTGAGTTACCTGCCGTCGTCCGAGATTGATCGAGGTTCTGGCTCCGTGTTCCGCTAATATGTGCTTGAGCTTATGGTCCGATATCAGGGGGTGCGTGCTACCGTTGATATAGACCACAACACCGTCGAAAATCCTCTTGGGCTGGGCTTTTCCCGCCTCTCGCGCTTCATCTTCGGTTTTACGCTGGGACATGAGCTTTTCCTCGGCTGTCGGCCCGCTACAACCTTTATCTTTATCATCCGGCATGGAATTTGGGTCTGGTGCGGTAGACGTAGACGACGAAGGTATGCTCGTTGCCATGATCCCTGGCTTTGCAAGCATATCCCTGACGGAACACTTAGCGCGTGACCGTAGTTCAGGCGTGACAAGAGCTTTCAGCTTAGGGTCCCAGTCTTTTGATCCAGTACCAACTGTGTCTGATACTCTCGATCCGCCGCCCGGACCTCCTTTGAATTGGCTCGTCAGCTTCAAGTTCCGAGACTGGCGCCATCCTGTGCTTCTCCCCAAGTGGTTTTCGGCGCGCTGATGACCGGTAGCGGACGAGTTCCAAGAATCAAATACCTGGCCATATTTAGGCTCTGGGGCTTTGGGTATCTCTGATTTCGACGTGTTTGACGGGGGCGACATGGCGAATGAAAGAAAAAATGAGTGACACGAAAGACTGTAAGAAGTTAAAAGTTGAAAAACGCGTGATTGCTACGTCATTGTGAAGGTAAGCAAAAAAGAATTTACCCTCGCACAACGGGTTTGCTGTTTCCTTTGAAGTGAGACAATGGACCATAGACTTAAAACCTTGAACCATTCCGTTCGACTCGACGCTAACGGGAAACCAATCCTTGAGCTACCGGCCAGCTGCCGGGCAACACAACAGAGGACATGCCGGCAGTGACACGTGACGCCCCGTTTATTTTATTGAAACATCGACATTACAAAGTTTGAATTATTTCTAACAGGTAGTTAGTTAATAAGTCTTGTAAGTCTTGTAAGTCAGGCGAGATGTTTAATGTATATTTTGGGTGAGAATGTGAGAATGTACCTAATATAATAAATATGTGTGATATATATGTGTGCACATATATCGTCAATTGGAGCAGTCAGCATTTTGAGTAAGCAAGATACTACGGATTACATTAGGAGGTATGTAATGTAATGTAATGTAGTTCAAAAAGTAAAGAGGTAAGCAAATTGTCTTAGGTAAGTTAACCTAGTTAAACTGCTGTTGTGCTTTTTATTATTATTGCTGCTCTATTTTATTTTATTTTCATTCAACATCCTTTTTATTCAACACCCTCAATTGAAGTGATAGACAGACATTAGCATCAACGTCCTGCCAAGCCCGCATACGATATCGCGCAAGCAAGTTCAACGTCAAGGTTATCAGAGCTACGGGATTCGTCCGACGACAGGACATCATATCACGACATCTGACGGAGGCGCCCCCAGCGGACCAATCGGGTGGGTGCGTTTCGAAACCAAAAGCCCGAGCATACTTGTTTTGGTGCCCAGCCCAGCGCGGGTTACAGTCGTAGAGATGGATTTATTAGGAGGATGGAAGATGGAACTTGTCAGATTGAATTGAAGGATCTCTCCAAGTCACGAGGTCGGCAATTCGACTTGCTGGTTGGCACGCCTCGAGCTTACCTTTTGACAATGCAAATGGGCTGACCCTGGTCTATGTAGTCCCTGGTATAGGTATGTAGTTTGGAAGAAGGCAACAGGCACAGGGCACATCCAAAGGTAGCAAAGAGAAAAAAAAACCCTACCTGCTTTTTACCTGCCCTGCCCTGCTTGTCTCGCGATGGGATCGGTCCCGGTTCGATTTCCTGTCCCCCGCACATCCTCATGCAAGTAGCCCACCATATCTCCCGTCATCGTTTCTTATGCAACCCTCTTTCGTTGCAGTCTTGGGGGAAGGGAGCTGAAGCTTAGGTACGATTTTGCATGGTACCCTCCCGGGTCTAGGCGATGCGAAGGTTCTTCGTAGACAAGATTGACGCACATCATTGGGCTAGGGAGACGATGCTGCAGACCAAACTTGGACACTAACCGCCTTGGATGCTAAATGCTGACAGCTCACTTTTTTTTTTCTTTCTTTCCCTCGTCATGTCATCGGAGGCTGATGATACAACCCCCGATTGTCATCTGCACAAGCGGGAGCTCCCTCCTTGCTTCCCACATCATGTAGGCATGTGTGCGGTGGTGTTATGTACGTATGTATATGCCGAATCTTAGGTCTAACAGACCGTTGATTACTGCTTACGGGCTTGGATCGAGGCTGCAAATCCTCTAGGAACCGGGGTAGCATGTCTACAAAATCTAGGCCTCAAGATTTCATCACGTACCTTACCTAAAGGTATGTACGGTATGTATGTACGGTACGCTCGGCGGCGAATGCTGGACCCCATGCTAGGCGTTCATGCAGCCTGGCGATTGGGGCCGCCGCCGTTCTTGTTGTAGTGTATCTGTATTTGCTATGTCGTGTTGCTTATCCACCTTGGGGTCACGGTTGTTGGATGGGGGTGCCATTGATTCAACACTATCGAGTCGGGTTACATTCCCGACCCGTGCCCTCCTCTATCCTGTGCAGCCGCAGCGTTTTTATGTTTTACCGGCATGAACAATTGCCACCCTCTCTGCTTCCTTCGACGCGCGACCTTTCCCTGCTTCTCTGGGCTACGTTGCAGTGGCCTTTCTGTTGGGTCGCGGCCAATGTGCGGTAGTGTTTTAAAGAAATTGCCCAGTGTGCCTGGCAATTGGTGGGCAAAGATCCGATATAGGGTCGTCGTGCTTAGGAATTCCTCGAGAAGAGAGAAGTTGGCCTTGTCGAAACTTGAGCCGAACTCCCGGTTATGTTACGACGCCGAGTTGATCTTCACTCCTCAAGTTAGAAACATTGATTCGCCCGTACAGTAATCAGTTGACCTTTTCTCTTTTCTTTCTGAACCCCTGAAATTTATCGGTCTAGAGGACATTTAATTTTGGTAAACTTAGCAATCGTAAATGCGATTCGGGGACCAAGTAGGACCTCCGGATTCGGTTATTATTTTCTTTCGCTCTGCCGGTACTCGGCCCCATCGCCAGTTCCGTTACGAGGTACTTGGGCTGCTACGGGAATACACTATATACAATTCTAACATCTTAACTCGCTGAGCATTGATGATGTCGGTATACTAGTGGGGGTTTGATGCTCTCCACAACAATGGGGGGCAAATTTGTCGACGTGACATGGGGTAGACGGAAATATCGAGTCGAGACCGACCCTTCAAATAATCATAAATAGAGCGCGTACTTGTGGTGCGGGAGGGTATACAGAATCTAATACTGACAGGCATAAATTGTCACTATCCTACATATGCGGATCATACTTGCTTCTGCTCCCTGCTTGGCTAACAACTACCTGCTTTGGTGCTGCGGCGGCGGCAGCGGAGACGGGATGCTCCTCACGCATGCCCGCTTGCTTGCCTTTGCTTGTTACGTGGGGTGGCTGGGTATTGTAACTTCTGTAACTTGAAAGGGAGGTAGGGGGCTGAAGAATTCCTGGCTGATTTGCAGATTTGATACCCGAGGATGAATTGCTTTCATTTTACCAAAGGAGGGCCGTATGAAAACGTCCAACGGCTTATAAGCACAGGCCGCCGGAGAAGATTATTCTGCCATGCCGTAACCGTCTTATAAACCGAATGCGGCTTTATTTTGCAAGTCTTCGGCTACGATTGATATCTACATACATCTTGTTACCGGCATGGCTTCTTACTATGTAGAGAATTAGAGGGAAGAGGATATCAGCGGCACCAATTGCTTGTCCGCAACCCCTGTTCACTTTTTCCCGCTAGATATGTGAGTGCGGTTATGTGCTGTAGTCATACCATGCCGCGCCGTACATACATATGTACACTACGGTACCTAATGCTACGTACATCAGCAGTACTTATCACCTGTGTAAGCATCCACGGTACTGTAGGTAGCTGAATGTGATCCTTAGCCATTCTAGAGGAGATATAGTATCAGGGGTGCTTCCCACGGTGCATGCACGATGTAAGATTGATTTTCAGATCAACGTTGGCCCCTTTTATAGACATGAATACCTACTTGACATGTATGTACTGGGGATCGCTGGTGCAGCATACGTAGTGTACTTACAATATAGTGTATAGAATTGACGTTTGATAAGGTTGCGATTTGAGTTGAATATGGTACATCGTGAGATGTTGATGCTCGCGGATAAGAATAGCGATACGCACAGGCAAGCCCGTCAAAATCCTTGTCGACGATCACGCTTTTACTCGTTGCTAGCGTCGACGACGCCCACTTGGAGGAAAGATAAACTTAGGTACTTCTTACGGAGATCGACCCCTCGGTGATTGCTTAGATAGCCATGCGAGAAAGAAGTAATCCGTACACAGGGCTTGGGGGAAGGGATCTGCAGAAATATACAGTGCCTATTTATTCTATACGTTATATTTCACAGTATTCGCGTTACACGTAACAAAGCGTAGTTAGTAGTTGTGATATCCTAAGTGCTCAGACACTTGTTGCTCTTGTGACCTCTATACATCGTATGAGTCTGTCTGGACCTGGGAAGGCACTCGTGAACAGTGACGAGAAAGGCAGGTTAAGCAAGGTCTGAAGGTCTCAACTAGCAGACCGACGAGTTGCTCGGAAGACCTTTGTGTGGGCCCGGTTTGACCTAGTGTAATTGTACATACAGGACATGATTTGCAAGGCTAAGTAAGACGCCTTCGAAGAGACAAAAATTTGAGACTATTTGCTTCAAAACCAGCCACCACCACGTGAAAGCCATGATATCTAAAACGGGCTACAACTTTGGAAAATACCTAGTCATGAATAAAATCTCCTTGTATTTGGGGTTCCAAAAAGGGAAAGGGATAAGGAAACCAATAGCCGGCGATCATCGGACAAGCGCGATGGAGCGTCGGCAGGGATTTACGGCGACAAGGATGAGAAGTGAGAGGGGAGGTTGAAAAGAGAGAGGGGTGTTTAGTTAATAAGATCTGGACATGGATACGGTCTTCCTAGCGAAATAGCGGTGAAAGATAACCATAGTACGTAGTTACAAGTATTATGTGTAAAGGTGGAAAGGTGGAAAGGAGCTCGGGCCTTGTGTGGTCTTTGTGGAGTGCCAGATGGAAATGCGTATCTTGTTTGAACATATCTCGTACGGTGTGGTGGCTATTAATTACCTACCTCCAACAAGGGTGAAACTCTTCGCCAATCTCGTTGAGCGGCACCAGAGATCCTATGCGTGCGGTAGCAGTCGACCGTCCATGTTGAGAGTATTAAAATAGTTGGATTTGTTAGGTTAGGTACCTAACCTAAGGCTAAACGAAGCTGTGAGCTATAAGGTTCGGTTCTTCGCAGCTCAGCTAGACCTCGAGGATTAGAAGTTAGCTGTTATTGCCGTCGATACACTACGTATACTCCTCAACAGCGGAGTAGATAGGGCGGCGTCAAATATTATAAATCCATACTAGTTAGCTTCGCTATCACTATTATAGAATGTTGCTTAAGAGACTAGAAGAGTTTGGCAGAGCTATGTTGGTCAAGTTCAAACACGTACCAATCCCTCATTGGACCAGCGAATAGTCGACTTAGAGAACACGTTATAGTGATTGGACTTTGCCGTGAAAATGCTAGTAATACTAGTGATCTCGATGCTATGATTCTAACTCTGACCTTTCAGTTTGGTGTCCGTTTCTGCTGACCTTATGGTTCTCTTCATCTTACCGATATTAGACAAGCCACCTAGCTTGTAGAAACGATAGTAATGTGGAGGCTTTGTCAACATTATCGGGGTCAACGGCTCATTCACGAGAAAGTGGCCTTCACTTACCTACACGCTACCTAAGCTGCCCGTGTATTAAGCGATTGAGCTATGTAATTCCTATTTCTACATAGTATGTACAGCAATACTTTATCGGAGAATTACGAAGGGTATATCACCTTTCGAATTAAGCCTCAAGGAGAATATATTAGTAGACTACTGCTTAGTTTCCCA